ATTTTTTGCAAATGATTGTTTTGACTTGTTTTTTTTATAACTTGATCTCCATTCACTCTATAATAATTATTTTTTTTGTTTCATTCCTTTCACTAGAATACACTTTAAAATTAACTTAAAAACATTCTTTTTAAGAAAAATAATTATTTGAGAGCTTTTTACTTCTACTTCTAATAAAAACTGAATTTCTCCCCTTTTAATATATCGGATTAAAAATGTTATTTGTTCCATTTTTAAGAAATATTTATCTCAAAAAAATAAATTTTATAAGTTGAATAAATAAACGATATAAGAAATGTTTGTGAAAAAGTGTCATTAAGCATAGAAATAAAAATAGGTATTTACCAGATAATCCACCTCCCCTCGGGATGTAAGTGATTAATGGTTGACGTACTTAGAGTTAATTTGACAATCAGTTCAAATGTAAAATTTGAATTTATGGGGAATACATACATATAATCAGCAAGTAAAAAATTTGAAATTAAACAATAAATAAAATTTCATTCAGAACCTAACAGAAGGCAAACATTTTTGCAATTCTGGACGTTCTGACATAAATTTAGCTGAAAGTTCGGAAAGCTTTTCTTCACTAAGTATAGGCAATTCTGAACAAAAATCAGATCGTCTAAATTTTGCAAGAGGCTCTTCTCCATCATCAGATTGTTTGTTAGAACAATTCTTAATTAAATCGCCGGAGAGTTTAAGCATTTCATTTCGAAGTTTTTCCAAAATAAGTTTATTTGGTTGAAATTGGCGAACATTTGCTTCATCTATTAGAATAAAAAATTAAAGTAAAGGTCAATTTTTTTAATATTTTTTTATTTTGACGGACAAAACAAAAAAGGATAACATCATTTAAGTTAAATTTTATTTCTTAAAGTTTAATCTCATGAGTCATGACGCGTTCACATAATTATCTTTGCGTCTTGCGACATAAAATAACAATCAAAAGAAGCAGAACCAAAATCGCGCCCGACTTTTCTCTCCTCCTTTTACATTATCTTTTCTGTCGCAAACAGCAAAGCAACTTTTATGTGAATGCGGCATCATAAAGCCAAATTTAATTATCTATTAAATTGAGATAATAGCTTATAAAAAATAAATTTAAATAAAAGTTATATGAGAATAATGCTCAAAAACTTGATGATAATTTCGGAAAAATTTTTTAAAAAATCAAAATATTTATCCACCTTGAATGCTTTGTAGTTTCACCACACTATCTTTATTTTTTCTAGCATCTCGGAATTTCTGTTGTGCTTCATGACCATAAAGTTTCAAGATTGCACCCCATGTTTCGATCTAGAAAAATTGTTTTTTTAAATTAAAGATTATTTAAAAAACCTCAGGATGTAATTTTTTTAACATTGCTTGAGCAGCAATTTGCTTTCCTTCTCTTTTATTTCCACTAATCACTTTAACGCTTAGTTCCTCTCCAATGGACAATTTAAATTCGTGACGCTGATGACGAAGTAAACGACTAGTTAAATTAATTGCTGTATCTCCAAATGCAGAATGTCTTTTTAAATATTCCTAAAAAATATTTTTTTAATTTTCTTTATTATGTTTAGATGCTTTAGAATAAATATATTCGGTCAAAATATAACAGGAATTGATTTAATTTTTAAAATTTAAAATATTTTTTGCTTCTGACAAAGTAATAGAAAAATCATATGAGTAGTAAAATAAATTACTTGAAGCACAAGATATGGGGAAGGCTGTCCAGCACGTGCACATAATTCAGGTATTCTTGTATCAGTTACACCAATCATATCAAAAATATGCAAATCATTTCTATCGCCATCATTAATTGACGACCCAACAGAAGTTCCAGAAGCCATCAAAGGACAACTTGTAATTAAATTGTTGGAAGAAGTTGGAGTATTTTCAGAGAGTTCATTTCTGCTGAAAAAATTTAGAAATTTGCCCATAGAAGTTAATTAAAAATTTAACCAACTTATTACTATTACAAGCAATTCCATCAACATCAAACTCAACACCAGGTACAAGTTTCTCAACAGCAGCCTTAGCAGCTATCATTTTTGCTTGCTTTTTACCAGGGCCAAAACCTTCGCCGAGTACAACAAATTCTTAATAATTTTAAATTTGTATAAAATCTTTTAAGGTGCAAAGAAAAAACAAACAGATAAAATTTATTTTTTAAAACTTAAATAAAGTTTTTAGTTAAAGTCAAAAAAAAAATAAAAATATAGGAGATTTTCCTAATTTTAAGACAATAATTTTATTAGTCCAAATTCATTTATTCCAATTTAATTAGTTTAATTCACTCATTGTCATTATTTGAATTAAAGCTAAAACCTGAACCAGAAGGGTCGTCAACAGCTTTATTTTCAGCTTCAGTACTGCTAGAAAGTTGTTGTCCAGAGTTTATTTTACTAAAATCTTCATGCATTAATGCCAATTTTTGTTTAACAATTTCTGCTGAAGGTTGCTGATTTTGTTGAGAATTATAAAATCTTTTTCGGCCGGTATTTTGTGTGGTAGTTTGAGAATTATTCAATACTAGTTTGACTGCACAATGATAAGGGGTAGCACTACTTCTAAAAAATATTTAAGTTTTATTATAAAATTTTAAAATGACAAAAAATATAAAGTTTAAATACCTAGTCTCGCTAAAGAAATATCTAACAGTGCATTTGAGTGCTTTCTGTACAAATTCTAAAAATTTAAGATTAAAATGAAAAAAATACAAATCAAACCATGCAAAATACTAACAGAAGTTTTTCCTTGCGGATTTAAATAAAAAAGTCTTTTGTTTGGCTTTGAATCAATTTCAAGTGAAGGAACAGTAATCAATTTTACATCACTGGGAAGTCCTAAAACAATTTTTCTAAATTTTTAAATTAAAAATTAATTCAAAACCTGGTCGCTCTTCTCGTGTTTTAAATCCTGTTTTCACATGTCCACCTTCTCTTCCCTCCCCGCCAACCAAAAGTTGCCGCATTTTTCGTTTTTTATAAAAATTCCGTGCTTCTGTCCATTTTCCAAAACGATAAATACAAATTTCTTTAAATTTAAAACGATCCTTTGCATAAGTATAAAGTTGATCAGCAGTGAGTTGCATTTTACGTTGATCTAATTCTGTCTAAAATAGAAAATAAATTTAAAAAATAAAAATTTTTAAGAACCTTTACTCGAACATTTGGTGTAATTAATTTTCCAGAAATATTGTTACTTGAATCTTCTATAAAAACAAAATATTAAAAAAAAATAGATTAAATGTCAAAATATAACAAATTCCACAAAAAAACTAATTTTTTCTTTTTAAACTTTTACACAAATTATAAATAAAATTCAAGATACCTCCTCCATCTTTATTCATCCCCTCTTCATTAACAACAGATGGTTCTTGTGCCACTTTAAGAGATGCTTCAACCTCATCTTGATATTTTTTCTGATAAAGACAGGTAATTGCTGATTCTGGGACTCTAAAAGAAAAATTTTTTCAGAGAAATTAAAAAATATTTTTAAAGAAATAAAACGAACTTGTGTTTTCTAATTGAACTTCTTCCAATAAAATAAGGTCGCGAAAATGTGCAAACACGAGTAGGCTTATGCTGAAAAATATTATCAGGTATGAAGACAAAAATTTTTTTGACATTTAAATTTTAATAGGATTTCTAGATTTCTTTTAATTTTTTCAGAAAAAATCCAATTTTAGAGGATTACTTATACCATTCAAATGAGATTTTTTCTCTTATTCAATTTATAAAATAACCAAATAAACAGGAAGACCGCTAGCATGAGTAATTTCCACCCAACCATCAGGCAATACATTAAAGTGATCGTTTGCACGGTATTCCAAAACACGTTTAAATCTTTAAAAAAAATTTTTTTAAGTTTAAAGTAGAATTCATCACCTTTTTGATAAATGTTTTGGAGTTGTTTTTACACCTTCTTTAATCGGTTCTTCCAATAAATTGTCAATATGTTCAGAGATTTCTTCTTGATTAAAATCCTCTTCACTATCCGAATCGTCGTCTTCCTCTTGTATTCCGTCTTCCTCAAAAGATTCGTTTTGTTGAAGAGCTAAAATAATATAGGTAAAATTGAAAACTTGGATAGAAATTCGAAAAAGTCTTTCCTCATAACCTTTCACAGTTAATAAAAAAATTTTTTTTAAATACATTTAACATCCTAGTTACAAATATATAAAATCGAATTTACTTAAAAATTGCCCAGATATTATTTAACCAATTAGTCTATCCAAATTTTACTACCAGTTTCTAGGATTAAACTTTAATAAAAAAATAAACATATACATACATTCATTAGGATTAGCACTATCAGAAGTTTCTTGTAAATCCTTCCCAACATTATTATTCGAAGATTCATCCACTTCTTCATTCCCAATTCCTTCATATTCAATACTATCATCTTGTTGATCCTCGCTTCCTTTCAATTCAGCCAATAAATCATTGCGCATTTGCTCAAGTTGTTCCAATTCATCAACAGTAAATACATCATCATTATCAGAATTATCAGTATCCATTCTTTCTACAAAAATTGAGAAAATTATTTGAAAAAAAAAATTTGTTAACAACAAAGAAAAACAAATATAAAATGATTAAACTAGAATAATAAAAATTCATTAAAATCTGTATTTTGGAAAAACTTCAAAAGATTAGAACAAATCACTCAAATGCGGCTCTAACTGATTCCAAGGAAAAAAACGACATTTTAACCCATTTTGGCCGCGTAGATCTTTTAATGAATAGGTCTTTTGTACAGACATTTTCTCTATGCTGGAATAACTTTTCAAATTATATCCCTCATTATTCAATCTTTTAAGACAGAGCTCCTTTTAAGAAAATGTTAAGTTGGAAATACATATGGGGAAAATTTTATATTTTTGTAAAATAAAAAAAAATAAAGTTTTTCATTATTTAAGAATTTCGAAGTCTTGAATTGGGAATATTTATTTATTAAAACCCCAAAAATATTATAATAAATAGTTAAGATAATTAATACATAAATAAAAGTCAAAGCTTTGAAAAAAATCTATTTCGATAAATAACAATATCTTTATGAGAACGAAGTTGCGAAATTGTAGCACAGCCTAAAAATTAAAATATAATAAAAAATATTTTTTGATAATTTTTCTTCCTACCAGACAACCTCATTGCATAATCAAATTCAGTTTTAAGCAATTTAAGTACGTGTTTTACACCTTCTCTACCCTAAAAAATTAAAATATACAAAGTCATTCCTATTAATTACCCCAATAGCTAATCCGTAAATAATTGGACGTCCAATAAATACTAACTGGGCACCAATTGCTAATGCTTTGAAAATATCAGTTCCGGTTCGAAAACCTCCATCAACAAATACCTAAATATATTTTAAATATTATCTAGAAAATAAAATTTTAAAATGACCGGTACTCTGTCCTGAACTGCTTCAACAATTTCTGGAAGGACATCAATCTAGTAAAGACAACAATAATTATAGACACATGTGTTTTGTCGGTTGTTTGCTTAGTGATAAAGTATTTGATTGAAAAATACCTAGTTATGAATACAATCTCATAAAAACTCGAAAGGTTCCATAAAATTTCGAATAATTTTACTTTCAATCCTAGTTGATCTCCTGATCTTAAAACTATCGTTATGTCTTCTACCACAGGGTTAATCAGCAAAAAATAATAACTCCCCCTATGATATTCAAAGAATAATTATCTAATATAAATATAAAAACCACCGTAGACATGCAACAGTCTAATTGACGGCCCCCGTGATTCGAAACCTAAAATGATTTAAAAATTTTTATTGAAAAGGATTAGTGAAAAACAAACAACAATTGCTGCAGCCCCCGCTTCAATAGCCAAAAGTGCATCATCTCCTCTCATAATTCCCTTAACTATTACCTTAATTTAGAATGTTTTAATATTTAATATTTAAATGTTTAACTGACTGGCAAAATACTAAAATCCACCAACCATCGAAGAACTTCCCAATTTAAAGTTGGATCAAAGTTTGAAATAATATATTTAGTCAATCCTAATTTTAAATAATTAAATATTATAAAAAAATATTTTGTGGTTAAATTGCTTTGTGACATGTTCTATAAATCAAGAATCATGAGATTTATAAATACGAAGAGATTAATGAACACGAGAGTATTTTATATTTACCCATGTTATATAAATTTCAGAAATCCTGATGAATTTTTTAGTCGGCTTTCGCATCTCACAAAATAAATTATTTTTGATTAATCAACAAAAATTCAGGAATATTTTCAAGGTAAAGAAAGATCTGATATACCTAACTGTCATTTTTGAATAAGTTTTCATAAATTGATTTAAAAAACACCTGAAGCCCCATCATTATCTGCAAATTTAGATTCCTGCTCGAAATTTGCAACTCTAAATATTTCTAACAATTTGATTAAGTGATTAGAGAATACCTTAAATGTTCAGGCAATTTAAATCCATTCCTTTCATCAGCTCTTCTTCTGCCAAAATGGGGCGCATCAACTGTTAAAACCAATGCAGAAAACCCTGCCTTTTCTGCCCTCCGAACGAGTTTTTCAGTTAATGCTCGATTTTTGTAGATATATAACTTTGATAAAATTATTATGGTAAGTTTAACTCTTCTTTGGGTAAAATCCCCCGTAGTCTTTTACCTACTTGAAACCAAATAGTTGCATTATCACTAGCATTTTTTGCCACTTCCTCTAAAGGAGTAGTTGATAGTGTACTACAAATCATAGGTACATCCATTTCACTGGCAGCTATATGAAAAATATTTTTTATATTTTAAATTCCTTTTTTTAATTTTCAACACCTTTAACAGTTGCAATTTCTCCTTGATCGTGTGCCATTCGTTGAAAAGCTGTAGGTGCAATTCCGATAGGATAGGGGAATTTGAATTCTCGTATTTTTTGTATTGCTGATTTTGAGGGGGTATTTAAACAAAAGTGAACGGATGTATCTAAAATGCTGACATCCCGAAGGACCAATGGACGAAGAAGAAAACTTTAAAATGTCATTTTTTAAATAAGTATTTAAGTAGAATAGTGTCATCGATTGTCAGACTTGACTGAATTTTATTTTTAGAATCGTTACGCGGTTATCTGAATATTCAGATAAACAAAATGTTGATAAATTAATTTTTAAGAAAATAATTTTCCCTAAATTATTCAATACTAGTTAAATATTCAAATACGTAACAGAACTCACTTCCGAAAAGCTTCTCGATTCTCTCGTACCGTTTCTTCATCATCAGCTCCACTAACATAATATCCTTTCACTGATAACGGCATTATCTCTAAAGCTCTTTTCTCAACATCCATTAAAGAAATATAACCAGAAAGTTTATTCATTTAATTTTAGAAATTCGTTACTTTATTCGAAATTATATAAATAAAACTGGGTTCTAATCGGAAAAGTTAAATTAAAGAACAGAAAGTATAAAAAACTATACATAAACATTAATTGTGATAGTTAATTAATAATAAAATTGATATCATTATTATATTTTAAATCGATTAAACCAAAATAAATGGAAAAGCAATTAGATAAATTAATTAAAGATAAATTCGAAGAATATTTATTTTCTTTTTTACATCAATTATTTTACATTAAATTTAAGTTGCTGCGATTCCAGTCTAAAAATAATATGTAATTTTTAATTTTAAATTAAAATTTTAATACAAGATAATTATCTAATTTAATAATCTAATCTAAAAAAAATTAGAATTATTTTTAAAATAAAGACTTGTAGACTTTTAAATGAGATTAAATATTTTTAATTAAAAATCATTTTTATGGTTTGTTTAAAAATAATTGAAAAATAAAAAATAACAAGTTTAAAACCAATTTATAAGTCAAAAATAATATTTAAATTTAAAAATCATGGAATTTTCTTTTCATTCTTCATTAATTAATTGGAAACATTTCCATCTGATCCATTTACTTTTTCAGTTTCTTCTTTTGTTAATTCTGTAATATTTTTTTAATTTTTTAAATTAAAATAAATATTTCTTTACCTCCATCGAACTCCAAACTTTCACCTTTTCCATCAAAATTAACAGAAAATAGATTAAAATTATTTTTAATTTTATATAAAAAAGGTTTTTCTTTCAAATTATTTCCAAAATTAGTTTCTACTGAACAACATTTCAAAGCAACATAAGGCTTATAAAAATCACATTCAAAGTTTTTTAATATAATTTTATCTTAAATTAAAAAAAATCATTTTTGAAATTCTTTAAATATTAACCAATTAATTTTCCATTTTGAGTGAAGAAAATAAAAGGAAATTCATTTATTTTATCAGTTGGTGGATATACCAATCCACAACCAAAAACATCTCCATTTCTCCAAGAAAATGGTGGAAATTTTATCTTTACTTCTTTATTTTCAGTTTTGTAGAATATACTAGCTTCATTTAAAAATAATTCAACAAAATAATTTTCATTGTTGAAAAGACCCATAAAAACCCAGTTTTTGGCATTATTTACTGCCTCTTCTTCAATTTTACATTTAATTTCAAAATAAAATAAAGAATAATTATTTAAATATTCTTTTGGTTTATTAAATGAATTTTCAGCAGAAATATTAGCTGCGTTATTAAAAACAAAATTTCCTTAAAAATTAATTAAAATATTTCCAAAAAAACCCCCCAATTTACCTTTCCCCTCCTTACAATTAATATAATTAATATTTTCTTCATCAACCAAATTAACAAATCCATTTCCTTTTACACAAACACCTTTAGGATTGTCTGCATTTATACATTTATTTTCACAACATTTATAACAATCATAATAACCATAGTAGAAATCTTTCCATTTATTTGGAATTACATTAAAATACTTAAAATACCGTAAATCTTCTAATAAAACCACTCTTTGAAAGAATCACACTCCCTAATATAACATTTCTCAACGAGTGTCGAAAAATACAAGCACATGTGGTTCTATTAGAAGATTTACGTTGTCTTTAAATCTTGTAAAAAATTTTAAAATATCCTTTACAAACGGACATTTTATGTCTCAAAATATTAATTACAATTTAAAAATACCTGTTCAAAATTATTTCCCAAACTAACAACTTTTTCCTCTTTTTTACAAATAATTTTCTTTAATTCATTAAATTTTTTATTATTTTCACTCATTAATTCCCCAAACATTTGTTTAAATGTTTGTTTTATTTCTTCAATTTTATCTTCGTTTTTAGAGTTGAAATTTTGTAATAACTGAAATTTTATAAAATTATTTCTAAAAAATACGAAATACCGTATTCTCTCAAATAGTGCCCCCCCTTTCACTGCTCTTTAGAGGAGGGTTTAAAAATAGTCAGCCGGTAGCACTATTTGAGAAAATTCGGTAAATTATTTTCCTTAAAATCCAAAATCCACTGAACGAGTGCCACCCAAATCCTAAAATTTTATTCCATCATGTGGAAATAAAATTCTCAAATCCATCATGTCTCAATTATATTTTACAAAATTTAAATTTAATTTTAATTTAATTTAATTCAAATACCCCCACCATTTTTATTTCATTCTCAAAAGAATTTTTAATTAAAGCATTATTATTTTTCATTTCATTAAACGCAACTTGAAGATTATTAAAATTCTTTTGAAGATTTATAGCATCATTATTTTGCTAAAAAATAATTTAAAAGAATTTTAATTTAAATAATTTAATTTTTACAATTAATTCAAACTCCGAATCTGAAGAAATGTCAGCATTAGTCATTTTTTAAATTTTTAAAATTATCTTAAGATCTAGAAAAATTGTTTTTTAAATACGTATATTTATAATTAAGAAAGTTTAACAAGCCAGTAAATATTTCACTGGCTTGCCAAAATTTTATAAAAATAATAAAACAATTAAATTTATATTAATAATGCGAATTTAGATGAATTTGTTTCAAATTTAATTTTGTAAATTTCTTAAAACATTTTAACTTTTTATTAAAGTAAATTGTTTAATACCACATAATTTATTAATAAATTATTTATTTAAAATGAATGAATGAAGTAAAAAATATGTATTTACGTAGGTCAACTTTTATATATTTAGATGGAGTAAATTCCCCTCCCCCTACTGCACATTCTGAGTAGTGTTGTTTGTCTTCATAAAGTTTTATTTTCCCAGACTAATAATTTGCTTAAAGTTAGAAACAGAGATTGATTGGTGAAACAGTTTGAAGTATCGAAAATCGAATATTTTAAAAATTTTGTGGAACCCTGAATGGAATTTTATTTTGCAAAATCTGGAATTTTGCAGAACCGAAATTTTTCAATTGAGTAATTAATTGGCTACTCTATTATCTGGTTAAATGGGGTGAGGGGCAACTCAAGGAATTCCAAATCACGGAACAGACACGTCATCTTGCCAAACCACGGTACGACCAAATCATGGAACAACCAGAACATGGAAGGGATCTTATTAACTCAGGGAACTACCACATTATGGAATGACCAAATCATGGAATTTTCTGCATTTTCAATTTTGACCGCATTATTTTTTAAAATCAGAGCTTTTTTAAATCAGAACTTTTTTAAAATATAAGTTAAAAAAATTTGGAAAAATTCTGATTTTAAAAATCAAAAATATTCTGCACAAAATTGAAAATGCAGAAAATTCCATAATTTGGTAATTCCATGATGTGGTCGTTCCCTGAGTTGGTAAGACCGTGACTTGTCCATTCCTTGTTCTGGTCGTTCCATGATTTGGTCGTTCCGTGGTTTGGCAGACCTTGATTTGTCGTTCCTTGTCTTGTCCGTTCTTTGAGTTAGCCGAACGGGTTAAATGGATACATTTTAAACATTCTACATATTGTGTCTTTATACATATAAATTCTGTGCTGAGAAAAAAATTAAAAAGCATAGTCAAAATTAAGTATGGGGATATTTTAAAGTTTTAAGTGAATAAATTAGAAATACATCTAAACTATCGTTTATTGACATAAAATTCAGTAAGAACAAGATGTTTTTTAATGTCATAAATAAAAGGCTTATTCAAATCATTTCCAAAATTGGCTTCCAAAGAACAAGATTGCAGATGAATACATGGTTTATAACTATCATAATCATTCTTCAATAATGTAGCTTTGCCTTAAAGTATAAAATGAATAAGTTTTTTGTTTAAATTTTAATTGCCAAGTTGTTTCCCATTTTGAGTGAAGAAAACATAGGGTAGTTCATTTATTTTATTATTTGGTGGATATACCAATCCACAACCAAAAACATCTCCATTATTCCAAGAAAATGTTGGAGGAAGTTTATATCGTCTACTATTTTCATTTCGAATATAAGTATTCCTTGCTTCAAGAAAAACCTCCCCTCCATGCTTATTTTTCAACCCAAAATCAAACCAATTTTTGTCATGCTCAATTATACATTTAATTTCAAAATAAAATAAAGAATAATTAATGGAATCTTCTTTTGGCTTATTGAATGAATTTTCAGATTCAATAAAAGCTTCTTTATTATATCCTTAAAATAAATTAATTAAAAATTAAATTAAAATTCCAAAATATTTATTAACCTTTTCCCTCAACACAATTAATATATTTAATATTTTCATCATCAACCATATTAATAAATCCATTTCCATTAAGACATTTTTTACCTGTTGTGCTTATTTTATCGAAACATTTGTTAACACAACAACGATTAGCATTAGTTAAAGTATATTTAATCCATTTATTTTGGATATTTACAAAACACTTAAATAAAATTTTATTTACATTTATTTAAAAATTAAATTTAAGAAGGGCGTTTATGTAGGTCCTCTCTCTGTGAAAGCTTTTTGTGCCTCTGCAAGGGATTAAATCAATCGGAAAAAACTAACCACTTCCTGTTCTGTCATTTTGTAAAAATATATATAAATTAATATGAGCTAAATTTTGATATGCAATCAAGAAAAGTCAGGCGTTATAGGTCTGTTTTTGTTGTTGACTTTATTTAAGACGTACGCTCCTTTAAAGTTTTGTAATTTATATAGTGAAAGGTTCAGAATTTTAATATAAAATATTTTGGTAATAGTAGTGTTTTTCCCCCTTTTTTCAATCCCTGGCCATTATGAGCTTTTTTTCTTGATTTATAATTTATTATATGTATATCATTTAAAAGAGCTCTTCGAGTTGGGTTGAATGATATCAATATCAGTTAGGTTTGGTAATACTGAACAAAATTAAGAAGCTGTATCCTCTCTGTGAAAGCTTTTTGTGTTTCTGCTAGGTATTAAATCAAACGGTCATAACTATGTTGATCTAAGTCAGATTTCGTTGATTTTAGTGCCATTCGACTCAGCTTGAAGAGCTCTTGGTAATTCTTGCGTTCGTACCCCCCCCCCCCACAAATAATTTGACGTAAAAAGATGCTACAAAGGGATTTAGGAAAAAATGGAGGAATAAACGCTAATATTACCAATAATTTTACACAAAATTAAATTATTACTAAGCAATGGAGATAAAAATCAATGTTTTTTATTTTTTTAGCTTGGGTGAATTACAAATTAAAAATAAATGAAAATTGAGAAATAGGAGAGGGAATTGAAGAAGAAGAGAAAATTGAAAGATAGTAGAGGGCGTGATAAATAAGGGTTTTTTTTAAATTTTTTTATTCATCCAAAGGGTATACAATATACCACTGAAATGGGTGATTAAGGAAAATAAAGTATGTATATCAAATTGGGATTACGAAGAATAGTAGGCATTTGGAAAACTTAATGACCATAAATAGGCAAGTAAGTTGTTTAAGAGGTTTTCGTAAAGAACAAGTTAAAAATTAAATTTAAAAATTTAACTAAAAAAACTTTTAAACTTTATTCAAAAATGGAAAGTTTTGAAATTTTGTAAAACACTTGATTATTTTTAAAAACTAACTCAAACATTTCTTTTATTTTAAATAAGTTCAAAAACGTTAAGTAATTACATATTCCTTCAAGTATGTATAATTTATTCTTCTACATTTTAAATAAAAAGTTAATTTAAAATATAAAATTAATTAATTTACCCAATTATTCCAACAAAATAATTTAAAAAACAACATGTTTTTTAACATCATAAATAAAAGGTTTATTCTTCAAATCATTCCCAAAATTGGCTTCAATTAAACAATTGTCAACAATAATGTATGGATTGAATGAATCACATTTATATTTTGGATATATTTCTTTACCTTTTTTTAATAATAAAATAATTATTAATTAAGTATTTACCAATTATTTGTCCATTTTGTGTAAAGAATATATACGGAAATTTATTTATTTTATAAGTTGGTGGATATACCAATCCACACCCAAAAATATCTACATTATTCCACTTAAAATTGCCGTCCAATTCAATTTGTTCATTTTTTTCATTTTTAAATAAAGCACATTTTGCAAGTAATCGAATATAATAATTATTATAACTTAGACCAATAACCAGCCAATTTCTTCTATTTTCATTTGTTTCAATTTTTATACATTTAATTTCAAAATAAAATAAAGAATAATTGTTTGAATATTCTTTTGGTTTAGTAAATGAATTTTCAACACAAACACGAAAATATTTATTAACACCTAAAAAATATATATAATTAATTATTACATGTTGGGGATGAGTTAAACAGCTGTATCCTCCGACCCTACTTTAAATTATGGGGTTATTTTAGTGGGGTTTATGAGGTTTTTAAATTATAAAACTTTCTTTTGATTAATTTAAAATTAATTTAAAAAAAATTTAATTATTTATTTAATGCCAATATCTCAGAATTTTTACAAAATTCAAAACAACCCATTAAATTTAATTAATTTTCCCAAAAAAACCCCCAATTTACCTTTCCCCTCCTCACAATTAATATAATAAATATTTTCATCATCAATTATATTAATATATCCATTCCCTTCAATACAAATACTTCTAGGATTGTCTGTATTCACACAATTATTTTCACAACATTTCCAAACTTTATCAATAACTTTCCATTTATTTTTTGTTAAGACAAAATTCTTTTAATTTTAAATATTATTTTTAAATTAAATTAAATAAAAATCTCCAACCGCTTTTTTACATTTTTTATTATTTAATTGTTTCAATTGATTCATTACTTCTTCCAACTTTTTATCAAAAGAAGCATTCATCTTTTAAATTTATTAAATATTAGAAAATTAAAATATATTTTTTTAATTTCAAAAAAAGTTTAAAGCTAATATTTAAAAATAATTTTTGTTAAAGTTAATTTAAATTGTGTATTAACGCCTTCTACTCACTCATACATACGCGCAAAATGAATATTTTTTAATTTAAATATTCACCTGTAAAATTTGATTTTCTAAAAAAATAATTTTTTCATCTTTTTTCTCAATAATTGGTTTTGAATTATCAATTTCTTCAGAGTTTTTAGGATAATATTCTGCTAATGTTGAATCATATAAATTTTTCTTAAATTATTTTTAAATTTAAAAATTAATATTTAATAATTACATTATCTTTTTTATTCTCTAAAGAATTATTTTCAACTAAATCCTCTTTATTGTCCTTTACTTCTTCATTTATTTGAATATTTTTTGAATTATTTTCGAGTTCCATAACATCGTTAATTTGCTAAAAAATTATTATTTTTTATTTTTTAATTTAAATAATTTAAATATTACAATTAATTCAAAATCTGAAGAAATGTTCTCAGTCATTAGTACAGAAATTTAATATTTTTTTAAAAATCTAAAAAAAAATATTTAATTTAAAAAAAGTAAAATCAACATTTAATTATTTGTAAATAATTCTTTAAATAATTCAAAATTAAATTTTAAAAATAAAAACTGGGTATTTAAAAACACAAAAAACAGCCAATTATTGCAAATTTAGATGTGAAAAATTTATTAGAAATTTACCTAATTTTAATCTATTTTTATCAACTCCTGTCGGATAAACCCGCATTTATGCAAGCGGAAGTATAAAAGTTTGTGGTGTCATTTCCGCGGGATTAACCGCTCAAATAAAAAGCGGGAGCTGGATCCCGCAGAAATCCGAGTGAAATCTCGACGGTTATTGACTAGTTCTTTTAACTTTCAGTAAGTAGACGAGGAATGTAAGTAGCGAAAAAAATTCGGCGAATGGGTGCAATTCAACTTATCCAAATAAATAGAGAAATCTAAAAGTATATGTATGTAGTGTATGGAGTTAGACAAGCCAATAATACATAAGTATATTGATGGAAATTGTAAAAACACATTGGTCATTTATAAAAGTACTACACACTATTTTATTTTTATTTCCCCAGCATTTCCCAAAAACGAAGAAAGAAAATTTTACATTATCAGTTATTTTTAAATAATACATAAATTTAAGAAATTTCTAATTCTACATAGTCGGTAGAATGAGGCAGAATTACCTCTCATAAAGATTAAAAATGGAAATGGATTAATAATGGTGAAAGTAAATATTAAACAATTTTGTGAAAGTCTTTAATAATTTAAATTTTTTTAATCTTAAAATAAATTTTACGAAAAAGAAACGACGATAAAAATAAATCTCCTTTCATAAAGAGGAGATTTACTAAATAAAGAGAGATGACACGAAAGTACCAAAATATTTTAAAACAAATTTATTTTCTTTTTAGCTTAATCTTCATAAAATTCCTTTAGTACAAGATGCTTTTTAAAATTATAAATAAAAGGTTTATTTCCCAAATCATTTCCAAAATTAGCTTCTACTAAACAACAATTTGCTAATGCAATATATGGATGGAAACAATCAAAATTATCTTTCAATAATATAGCTTTACCTAAAAATTAAAAAATAATAAGTATATTTTTAACTTTAAATTTTATTTACTACCAATTATTTGTCCATTTTGTGTAAAAAATATATAAGGGAATTCTTCAATCTTGGTTGGTGGATAAATTAATCCACAACCAAAAATATCTCCATTATTCCAGGAAAAATTGTTAATTTTAAATTCTCTATCATTAGGTTTCATTCTATAAAAAATATATTCACCAAATATATTCAATCCAATTTCATATTTGCATTTAAGACCGTCAGGTGGATCTGTTTAAATTAAATTGTAATAAATCTAGTGTTTTTATTAATTTAAAAAAAACCAGGCACTCCTTTCAGATAGAGCCGAATTTTTTCTACCTCTGTTTTGAAGACCAAAATCTATATCAATTTTACCAGAAATCCCTTCTCCAATTTTAGTATATTTAATTTCAAAATAAAATAAGGAATAATTAATGAAATCCTCTGTTTTATAGAATTTATATTTAGCAGTAACAAAAGCAAAATCATTTATTCCTAAAAAATATTTTTTAAAGTTTTTTTAAAGATTAATTACTATTAAATTCTCTTTATTTAATTACCTTTCCCTTCAACACAATTATAATATTTAATTATTTCCTTATTAATTAAATTAATATATCCATTCCCTCCAATACAAACACCAAAAAGTTTTTTTGTATTTATACATCTATTGTTACAACATCTAAAATCATCTTCAATATCCTTCCATTTATTTTTAATTTGTACATAAAACTAAAAAATATTATTTTTAATTAAAATATTAATATTTCAAAAGAAAGTGATTTAATTTGAAATAAATAAAATATTCCCGAAAATCATTAATTTCCAACGTTTTTTTGGGTCGGGAATTCCCAATTTTCGAAATCGCGGATTTATTTTTTATGTCGGCAGGATCCCTGATGAACTTAATTACCTACTGGAAATTTAAAGAATACCTTCAGATAATAAAATTAAAGTTTTTATTTTATTTCAAAGATTTAATTTCATTTAAAAAATAAACTTAAAAATTAATTTTAAATACAAAAACCTACTAAATTATTTTTATTTTTAACTTCATCTATCTGATTACTACAATTATTTTCAACTTCCATAGCATCATCAATTTGCTGAAAATTGAGAAAATTTTTAATTTAAATAATTTAATTATTACAATTAATTCAAAATCCGAAGAAACGTTTTCCGTCATTTTGAAGAATTTTTAATTATATTTAAAATCTAAAAATTAATTTATCTACATATAACAGTTTATAATTTAAAAAAAGTAAAATAAATAGTAGACCATATGTTAACCTATATAATTTTTTCTACAAATAAATAGTTCAACATAAGAATGTTTTAAATGTTGAGGCGGACTTATAAATGTAAAAACATAAAATATTTTTCCCAGACATTCTTGCTTTAAGGTAATAATTAATAGAACGATTCTATAATGTTTTAAATTTATCGTTAATAACTTTGTCTAAAGGAAAAAAATTTAAACAATTATAAGTGGGGAGAAGAAACAGTGAAGGTTTGTTGCTTTTTAAAAACTTGGCAGAAAACATGTTAAGAAAAATTTAAAAACACCAAAATATTTTTAAAAAAATTTTATTCGAAAGCAAAATTTAAAAAATGAAAATTATTTTTATAAATTAATCAAAATAAAATTAGATATCGAGTAAATGCTTATGTATCAGATTTCAATAAATCACTCCATTTCGACTCAAAATTTTAATTAAAAACAAAATTTCAATAAAATTCTTTAAGCACAGAATTTTTTGAAATATCATAACAAAAAGGTTTTGTTTTCAAATCATTTCCAAAATTAATTTCAAGAGAACAACATTGAAGATGGACATAAGGTATATAAGAATTTCCATTTTCATTTAACAATATTGCTTTACCTTTAATTAAAAATAATTTTCTGTTTAATTTTTAATATCTATTTACCAATTATTTTTCCATTTTGAGTAAAGAAAACATAAGGTAATTTATTCTTTTTAGGTGGATATACTAATCCACAACCAAAAACATCCCCATCATTCCAAGAAAATGTTGAAAGATTAAATTCTTCAAATTCATTCTTAATTTTAACTTCCCTAGCATTATATCTAGTACTGCTTTTTGTAAGAGCATTTTGAAGCCCAATAACCAAAAAATTATTTTCTCCTTCAATTTTACATTTAATTTCAAAATAAAATAAAGAATAATTTGTTAAATATTCTTTTGGTTTATTAAATGAATTTTGAGCAGTAATACAAGCTGTTTTATTAACTAAAATAAATATGTATTTAAAATTAAAATTTTATTAAAATATTTACTTATCCCTCTAAAATATTTAATATTTCCATCATTAATTAAATTAACAAATCCATTCCCATTAATACAAACACCACAAGGGTTGTGTGTATTTACACAGACATATTGACAACAAGCACAATTCACATCAAACCAATCAAAGGCAATATATTTAAATTTATTGTTATTTTGAACAAAACACTTTTAAAAGAATTAAATTTATTCCCCTTTAATTATTAAACCAACCACTTTTTTACAATTTAATTTTCCAAATTCAGAGGTTGATTCACCCTCAATCTTGTTCTCAGACAAAGTAATTTTCTTTAAATTAAATTATAAAGTCAATCCCCTTTATATACTAGCTATAAGCGCCCCCTCATCATCATATCCCGACTAACATATCTCATTAAAAAATATTCTTTTGGTGAACGCCTATATAAATATAACTGGGTTGACTTTAACTAAGGATTGTTTAATGAAAAAAATAAAAAGATAAGTCCACTCCTTCACTGATAACCTACCTCAATCACTAATTCCCTTAAAGTTTTCATTCTATCTTCACTTTCAGATTTAGTTTTAAGGCCAATTTCATTCATCTGAATGATATAAATAATTATGTGTATATATTTTTTGGGGGATTTTAGGATTATTTTGTACTTTTTGTATTTCTGTGATTTGTTTTTGAAATTTTGGGGAAAATGAAAGAATAATTTTAAATAATAAAGCTTACAATTTTAATTTTATTTTCAAGAGACAAATACTTTTCTTCAAGCAAAACATATTTATTTTTTAATTCTTCATGCTCAATTTGAAGATTATTTAAATTATCTTCAATTTTTGTAGCATCAATATCTTGCTGAAAATTAATTTTTTAAATTATTATTTTTAGTAAATATTTAATTATTACAATAAATTCAAAATCAGAAATTGAAGATTCTTTCTCTGACATTTTTGAACACAAAATTTAATTTTTAAAAGATCTAAAAAAATGAAATTAAAAATTTATTAACTAAGAATTTTTTTGAATAATTAATTAAATAAATTATAAAGGAATTGATAAGAATAAAATATTTTAATTATATACTATTTCAAAATAGGCGGAGAATTTTAAAAATTTTAATTATGTATTTATCCAAAACAAGAAAAGATTATCATGAGAATATACTTAAGGGAATATTTTAAAAATTTATTTAAAATATAAAATGTGAAAATGTTGAGAGGGAATAAATAATTTTCTAGGAGGCAACGAATTCAAATTCAAGTAATTTCAATTAAAAAAATATTTGATCTTCGCCAAATCAACCAATAAAATTTTAAATCCAATTTATTTGAAAAAATTTGATTACAAATAATTTGATCAAAATATGGTTAGCGAATCCGGGGAACTCTCCAAATATCCAGATCCAGAACGAAATTTTTACTATAGTTCTGGGAGGCAACACCTTGTGATGCCGCAGGTGATTTTTAAAATTTATCCAAAATTCAGCATGACTATTGTTATTTCAAAAGCAATAATCATGATCAAATTATTTATTCTTTACCTCAATTCCTTTGTTTTGATGAGATTTTCAGAACATAAAAAAATCACATTTACTTTTAAACTTTTACTTTTTCCGATCCTAATATTATTTTAAAAAAATAAAATTAATTTCCTTTCTTTTGTTCTTTTTAAAAATATTAAACCTAATCTTTACAAATTTATTGCCATGACAACAATTTTTAAAAATTATTTCGATAATATGTATTTCTCTTTATTTTAATTTTTAATAAAAATGCGTCTTCGAATTAAATTATCACCAACTTTATCTTCTCACACAGAAGCTGTAAATGGGGTTGATTGGATAAATACAGATGAGGGTATTTCTATATCAGATGACCATTTAATTAAACTTTGGATTATGGAAAAAATGGAATCAATGGATTTGACTATTGTTAATGTTAAAGAGTTGAGTGATTTTGAATTTCCTTTCAAGAGCTCCTTAAAAATAGACTTAGGGAATTTATTGTGGTAATTAAACCCGAACATGACTTTAAGAAATTTAATTATTTTTCCTTCATTTAGTAGCTTGTTAACAATCCTATTTAGAAAATTTGTTTTATCTGAGCTTTAAGGCCTTTGTTTTTAACTCTATTTTTACTCCAAAATATTTTTAAAATAAAAAATTAAATTAGAAAGATTTTTCCAACTTCTCTCCAATTATCTAACCATTCTTTACGTGAAGCAACATCTAAACAAACAAACAATCCTTTAAAGTCATCAAACACAAAATTATCAACTTCAAAAAATTTTTCTGAAATATTTTTGGTTACAACTTCTGATGGTTAATTAAATTAATTTTTTAAAAATATTTTTTTTATTTTTAATTAAGGAAAAATTTATTTATTAAATTTAAATGGAAAATTAGAAAAAGTAATTGATGCCCATCATGGAGCTACAATTATGGCCCGTTGGAATAATTCAGAGCCTGGGGGTGCTGGGGGGTTTGCAAGTTGTGAGTTTATTTATTTAAATTATTCAATTATTTAAATTAGGTGGAGAGGATGGTTGTGTTAAAATTTGGTCTAAAAATGGAATGCTTCGTTCTGTTCTTGCGCAAATTGGAAAACCTATATATTCTCTTGATTGGAATGGAGATTGTAGTAAATTGGTATATTGTGCTGGAGATGAATGTTTTATTAAGCAATTGAATGTACAAGTAAGCATTTCTAAGTAGAAGAGAATAATAATTGTTTGAAATTAATTCTTAAGAAATCTTTTTGTATAAATTAAAATTTACTAATATTAACCACAAACTCCGACTCATAATTATTTTGACATTCCCTAGTTAGGAGTTGTATTAATCAAATATATGATAAGATTAAATATGTATATTTTTATCTCTTTATAATTATTAGAGTTCACCAATCAAATGGAGAGCACATACCGGACTTGTTACTTGTTTAGGTTGGAGTGCTGTTAATGATCAGGTGTTTGAAGCTCTCATATTTTAAATTAAATTATGAATTTTTCTTTTACTTAAAGATTCTGACCGGAGGAGAGGATTGTCGCTATAGGCTATGGAATGGACAAGGTAGCCAAACATTCTCTTTAATTAAAATACCTATTTTAAATTTCTCTTAAAATTTCCTTTTTAGGCCGCCCTTTATGGTCATCTGCTGCTTATGCTTTCCCAATATCCTCTGTAGCTTGGAATCATAATGGAACAATGTTTGCTGTTGGATCCTTTAATTTATTGAGACTTTGTGATAAATCTGGGGTGTTTATTTATATAAATTATATTTAATTTTGTTTTTTTTTAATTTCTAAAGTGGTCACATTCAATGGAAAGGCCGAATTGTGGATCAATTAATTGTTTAAGTTGGTCACCTGATTGTTTACAAGTTTTTTGAATAAAAATTTTTATTTTAAATTCCCTTCTCGATTTTAAGTTAATTGGTGGTTCTGCTAGTGGACAATTATTACATGCACATATTGTTGAAAAGTAAAAATAAAAAAAGGATTCTTTTGTAAAAATAGGGAGAATAAGACAAACAAATGTTGGGATGACTCGCTTGTATTCCGTTTTGTTTTTATTACGTGGCTATTAAATGCAATATTCCTGGACTGCCAAAAGTTTATATTAGAGAAGGGGAACTTAATTGAAATAATTTTTTGAAGATTTAAAGTAATTTACCTTATTTAAATAGACGTTTAATTTGGGAACAACTTGAAGCTATACAAATAAATAGAAGAACAATAAATATTCGTGATTTAAGTTCAGAAGTTGTCAGAGAACGTTTAGAAACAAAAGACAGAATTATAAAAATGGAGATTGGATTTAATTATTTAATTGTTGCTACATCTAAACAATTATATATTTTTAGGTATTTTTATATAAATTATACAAAGGTATTTTGTAATTTTAGTGCTAAAAATTGGAATACTCCAATTGTTAATGATCTTCGTGAAGGTTCTGGATTAGTTTCCTTGATTCGTTTATGCGAAAAGTAATTTTTTAAAAGAAATAGGGAAAATTGAGAAGGACTTTTTATTGTTTGAATACAGGGACTTTTCAGTTAAAATTGGAATATGTAGATACACTGCTCCACAAAATTATAAGTCCTCACCTCTTTTTCAAAAATTCATTGTATCAGCCGACAAAATTTTTTGTTCCTGTTCTGGCACCCAGTTTATTGTAAAACTGATTCCAGTTGGAAATAACATCCGTGTCCTATCAGGATTATTGGTTCTCTGTTAATTTTATCGATCAAAAATAATAAAACACAGCATTTAATTTCTGATTTAATTTCCTCTTTTCTTTTAAATAAAAAGATGTTTTTTACTTGTTGATTCTTCATCTGTACAAGTTCTAAATTATGAAGGCAAATCAATTTGTAATATAAAAATTTCGTCTTTTGGAGAACCATTTAATGAACAAACAGCAGCAATAGCTAATGATTTAGTTGTTTTGAGAGATAAAACCCAACATTCATTAATTCATTTATTTGACCCTCAAAATGGAAGGGTTGCTGGTGATGGGGAAATTAAACATTTAGTATTGAGAATACTTTAGTATTTTAAAAAAATATTTCAATTTTTTAAGTCAAATATTGTTGAATTATGTGTTAATCAATGTGGAGGTATTGTTGATAGAAGGATAATATTTTTGGATATAAATGGAGATTGTTTTATTGCTTTAGTAAATCGCTATGGAGCACCTGAAAGAATTCAGAAAATTGGTGGGTGACAAATAAGTTGAAAATTATTAGGAGTTATTAATAGAGACAGGATTTTTAGGCAAATGCCTGTTTTTTTCCTAGATAGGCCTAATGCTGAAACGTCCAAATCCGGTGTTATTTTACTGATAACTTCTTCTTAACTAATTTTATCGTTGCCTAAAATTGCCAATTTTAACTTTTTCTGACAAAATGCCCTATTTTGCCTTTTTTCAGCCTATTTTGCATATTTTTACTAAAATTTTTGGGCATTTTTTGAGAAAATTGCTACCGAAAAAATTTTTTTCTGGTAAAATATAAAATTTTTTCAAAAAATTTTTGTCAAAAAATTTTTTTGAGAAAAATTTTCTTGTGAAAAATTTATCAAATTATTTTTCGGAACAAAATAATTAATATAAATTAATTTATATGTAATTCTGTTCGTCAAAATTAATTTATTTAACATTTTAGTGCTTAGATTTATCGTTTTTGATAAAATTTAGCCAATTTAAATCAGAAAATCTCGAAAAAAATCCTGCCTATTTTGCCTTTTTTTCGTATTTTAGTGCCTATTTTGGCACTTTTTTAGTGCCTATATAGGTGCCTATTTTTAACTTTTTAGTGCCTAAAAATCCTGTCTCTAGTTATTAATTACCTATTAGAGATCGATATTTTTGAAAAACCTGGGCCTGTAGTTAAGGAAAAACCCAGTAAGGTCAAAAAATGCCTGGACTCTGGATACAGGAGAACCCCAGACCTTGGTCCAGGCCGATCTTTAATACCTAAACTATTAATTGACTAGCTAAATTGCCATCCTGATAAATGTTAAATTCTTTCAATAAAATTAACACTAATATTTTTTAAAATTATTTAAAAGGTTCTCTATTATCTTGTTTAACACCCAATAATTCTACAAATATGATGGCAGCATTACAAGATAATCAAAAACTTCTTGTTTGTTTAGTAAATTTATTCTCAAAAATATATTCTTTATTTTTATGTTTGTTTGCCTACATTACAATTTGTGGATAAAGATTTGTTGACATTATCGAAATTAGAATTAGGTGATAATTCTGAATTAACTAAAGGATCTATTATTTTAAGGCAAATTTTAATAAAAAAAATGAAGAAGATTTTTTTGTAAATTTAGTTTTATTGGCAATATAATAACAATTAGAAGGGCAGATGGAAGTTTATTTATTTATTATATTCCTCCACTTATTACAGCATTGTATTTTATAAAATAATTTTAAAATAAAAATATTTTTAAAAAGAATTAATTCCACTCAACACCATCAATGGGAAAAAGCTTTAAGGATTTGTAATTCTGCTAAAGTAATTTACTTAAATTTTAATTAAGAAGAAATTTTTAAAGGAGGAATTTCTTTGGGCAACACTAGCTGGATTAGCACTTGCAGAAAAGTCTTTCACAATTGCAGAAATATGTTATGGACAATTAAAAGAAGTTTGTATAGTAAAAGAAAAATTAGTAATTAAAGAGGGGTCCTTATCTATGAGGAGATCGAGATTCAAAATCGAAAAATTTTCTATCTCAATAACCGAGATCTCTGTTCTCGGACCTATCTCTCATTCCGAAAGTTAATTTTAAATTTAAATATTTTTTAAAGGCAGAAAAATTACTTTCTTTGGCTGAACTACGTTCTCAACCAAATCCTCAATTGAGGTCTTTCCAAATAGCTTTATTTGGTGGTCGATTACGAGAAGCTGAGACAGCATTACTTAAATCTGGGCATTTCTTTTGCGCAATTATGTTAAATTTAAGTGTTTTTAGATTTGAAAGGTTTCTCGATTTTCCTGTTTTAATCTAATAAATCTATAGAGCATTGGAATTGGCTTTAAATTCTTCAGAAAGACAAAACAATGGAAATAAAGGTGAAAAAGAATTTCTTTGCTTTTTAAACATATCCAAAATTAAGAACATCTCGATACAGTTATTGGATATCGTCAACGTTACTTGGACCTTTTGGGCCATTCAGAAACAAATTCAAAATTTTTAAAATATTTATCTCAAGTAGAGGTAGATTGGCCACATATTTTTGAAAAAATCCGGGAGGATAATGCTAAGGATCAAAGACAATGGGCAGCAACAACAACTGGAGGGACTTTGGGGATTCCAAATTAATTTTAAAAATTTTTTAATTGTTAGACAATTTATATTATAAATGAGAATAAATTTACAAAAAAAACTTTTATAAAAGCAGAAGATAAATGAGGAACAAAATATAAATAGTATTATAATTACCAAATAGTCCACCTTAGAGATATAAAGATGCAGAAAAAACGATATCACGCTTCAACAAATTTCTAGCCTTCTCAAACTTTTCAACAAGTGAGTCATCTTGTAACGATCTAGAAGCACCAATCATTTCATGTAAAAGTTCGTCTAAACGACGCATACAACGGATAATACTTCCTAAAAAATATATTTTTTTAATTTATGGCATCTTTTAATCATATGTATCCCCCAGTAAATTCCTTAATAAATGTCAACTTTTAGATACTTTATTTAAAAGTATTATAGATATACTCAAAAGAAAATATTCCTAAATATTTTCAAATAACTTTTATTTTGATTATATGAAAACATTTCAGGCTTATAAAAAATATTTACCTTCAAAAAGCTGTGTATTTTCCATTATTTGTGCAAAAGAAGAGCCTAAACACCAATTATAAACAACATCCATCATTCCAGGGCTAAACTGTTCAACATATTTTTCTTCATCCAATTCAAGTTTTGATTCAATACAAACTTTTGCGATTTTCTTTGCATTACTCTTAAAATTTAAATTTATAAATTAATTAAATTTAAAATACTTGTAAATTCCTCAAAGCACTGCTGAGGTTTTCTGGTAATCTTAATGTTGGCGCTTTCTCTTCAAATACAAAACAAGTAAGCAAAGCAGCAGCTTCTTCAGCCTCCATTGAAGCAAATGCCCCAGTAAATAACATTTCTGTCAATAATAATTCATCAGCTGAACTTAATTCGCAAGCAACACGTCCCTAAATTGAAAACATAGGAAAAAAGCAAAAATCCGCAAACTTTATCGGTAATTGTATCTTCTTCATTCGCATAACCAAGACGTCTAAGCACACGTTTTCTGCATTGTAATTCATCCATTTGTAACAACTTTCGACTATTTTCAGATTTAGTTTTAGCTTCTTTATATTCCTCTTCTAATTTTAATTTTCTCATATATGCACTGTAAATTTGATCAAAATCTGGACGTCCCTAAAATAATGGTAATGTAAAATAAATATAAAAGAAAAATCATAAAATTCAGATCATAAAACTCTCACAATTAAAATAAAAAACTTTTTAAAAAAACCTTCAAAGGATGATCCTTGTATCTCTGTTCATGAGTAAACAATAATTCAATTTCCTTCTTTACTTGTGGATCAGATATTCCCATATGTTCAATTGGATCAAGTTCGGGAATTAAATTGCTAAAACGTTTTTTGGTTTCCTAAATAAATTGAACTTTTTGTATTATCATGCAAAATTTTGGGTGATATATAGAAAAAAGAATTTATTTGTTAGGTATTTTTTTATTAATCATAAAATTAATAGTAACCATCAAAAATACCAGTTTTTACTTTTGCAACTTAATGAAGTCTAAACCCATTGAATGGGTTAAGGCCTGTCTGCGTTGCAAGTTTTTACTAAATTAATATGTCAAGATGTCAAAATGACTGAAAAAAAACTAGACTACCAATCCGAAAAGATTATCTTTTTTCCTTTACTCATATGTCTTTGGAGAGTATTAAAAATAAACGAGAAATTAAAAAACGAATAAAGGAAAGCAATTTAAAATAACGTCATTTACCGCTAAAGTAATTGCTAATGCATCTCGTGCTTCCTTGCTCTTCAATTCTTGTGGAACTTTCAATCTAATCGTACTTATTGCAGATATACATTCAAAAGTAAAAGGTATAACGCAGATGACCCCTTGTTCACGCAAATCTGGCGGCTTAAGAAGGGCGAGATTAGGTAAATGGCGCTCACTTTCTTTACTCACTAAAACAGCTACCTATAAAGGAAGAGAACATTCAGAATAAATTAAAAATGTATTATTTAATTGACTAGATAGTATATAAATGTAAATACCTCAACAATATATATAAGTTCCGGTGAGGTAGGATCCAAAGGATTAGGTGTTTTGCGCCAATTTATCAAAACTGTCCAATCATAATCTTTGTCGAAATGTTTCATCTAAAATTTAAATAGAAGTTAAATTAATTTCTTAGAATATTCGAAACCTTTAATAAACGTCCAGGCTGGAAAAACGGCACAACTTTAGAAGGCTTCAAAATTTTAGATTTAATTGACTGTTGTAATTGTTGAATACGCTTTTCAATATTATAATAAGCCTCAATTTCCATCTCATGACTAACACGAGCATCCATAAGTAAAGCATGTTTCTCGCGCATTGCTAATTGATCGATAAAAAATATTTGACAAAAATATAAGTGAAAACCTTGTCTTAGATTTGGTATAGCAGCATAATTCTGGAATTGATAAAAAGACTTCTCCAACATATATTGTGGATTGATTTCAGGAACACGGAACAAATTAAGTACCATATTGTAAGTCAGTCGAAATTGTGAATTAAGCGGATCGCTGTTACCCTGTATTTTATCTCAATTATTATTAGTAGACAAAAAGGAATCATTAATTTGGATACGCTGACAAAACATAAATTACTTCAGAAAAATCAGAAAAAAATAGCGAAGCTACATAATGAAAAACATTATAAAGTTCAGCGACACAGCTCAAAGGATCAAAAAATTTAAATCGGCGGAACCCGACAAATGCCAAGAAACAAACCTTAAGCAAATGCATAGCTTGATCAGCACTCATTTGTGTATCCAACATAAGAATGACCAAGCCACGATCGTCTTTGCCACGTCGTCCTGCCCGCCCACTCATTTGAATATATTCACCACCACTTATCCAACGATTTACTGTTCCATCAAATTTACGAGCTGAAGTGAAAAGTACAGTTTTTGCTGGCATATTAACACCCATAGCAAAAGTCTCGGTTGCAAAAAGGGTCTAAAAAAAATAAAAAATCATTCAGAAATAATTATAAAAAACCTTAATAAGTCCTTCACCAAACAAAATTTCAACAATTTCTTTCATTATAGGTAATTGACCAGAATGGTGAATACCAATTCCTCTTAACAAATAGGGCAAAACATTCTTAATTTGAGGTAGTTTTTTGTCTTCATCGGCAAGTAAATCAATAGCATTGTCAAAAATAAGACTAACAGCACGCTTTTCTTCTTCTAAAAGCAAAAATCATTAAGAAATATTTAAATAAAATATTAACCTGAATTAAAATCCATTTGTTTAACTTTTGTTGCATACATTTCACATTCTTTTCGACTAAAAGAGAATATAATGCAAGGAAGCATATCACGTTCATGAATTGTTCTAATAATTTTCAAAACACTTTTGTTGAGTGGATCACCTCCACCACCGGCAATACTACGCCTTGGTGGACCTGTAGCATTATCAACATTATCACCAAGTGGCTGTGAATCGACAAGAAAATTCATAGCTTTTTGAAAATTATCTTGTTTGAAATTTCCCTAAAAGAGAAATAAATTTATAAATAATTTCAAATAAAAATACTTTTATATCAACAACTTCATATAAGCCATCTGCACCACATGGAAAAATTAAATGCTGAAGAGGAACAGGTCGAGTATCCGTGTAAACAACGTGACAAGGTTGATGATGAAGATAACAAATCCATTCTAAATTTTTAAAAAGATTAAAAAGAAATGGTAAAAATTGGACGAAAGTGTTAACTTTTGAAGTCTAATTTAAAAATAAAAAAATAACAAACTTGCAAATTCCTTAGCATTAGGTATTGTTGCAGAAAGAAAAACAAAATGAGTTGTGTCTTGCATTAAAATTAAAGTCTCTTCCCAAACAACTCCACGTTCTATAAAATAAGTGTAACATAAAATGAACTAAATTAATTAATTTAAAAACCTTTATCACGCATATAATGGATTTCATCAAAAATTACCCATCCAATTTCGCGAGTAATTTCAGAACCTCTGTAAAGCATTGAACGCAAAATTTCTGTTGTCATAACAATACAAGAAGCATTTGGATTTAATGTTACATCCCCAGTCATCTAAACAAAAATCAATTTTGAAATTTACAAAAAAACAAACCAATCCAACATCCTCAAATTCCTCAGCCAATTCACGATATTTTTGATTACTTAAAGCTTTGATTGGAGATGTATATATAACACGTTGTTTATCACGAAGTGCTAAGGCAATCGCATAACTGTAAAAATTAGAAATTGCAAAGACGGACTTGACTTGATTTTATTGACAAAAATGTCAATGAAATAAGACAAACTTACAGAGCAACAACAGTTTTTCCAGCAGAAGTGTGAGCAGAAACAAGTACCGAATGTTTATTATCTAGGCAAGTAATTGCTTGTTTTTGGAACATATCCAATTTAAATTCATAAGTTTTTGCAGGATCGCCAGTAATTGTTCTTAGACCAGAATATTCAAAATCTTCAGGAATTACAACCTGAAAGGTAAAAAAAGTAAATAATCGACATAGGTTACCCTTGGTAACTTTCAATTACCAAAAACTTTTATTTAAAATTAACCTCGTGAGTGCAATTATTTTCAGCTTTAACCATATAAGTTCGAATTGCTGGACCTCTCAAAAGTGATTGATCAATATCCTCAACTTCCTCCACTTCATCTTTGACTAAAAAAAGAAAAGAAAATTAAAGTTAAAATAAAGTTAAAAAAATACTCTTTTTAGAAGAGGAAGGCCCTTCTTCCATAAACTCATCAGTTGTAGACTGAATAATTTCAGAAGATCTTTTACCACCAGAAGAACTAGCAGCATTACTTCCACCAGCCATACTTTGTAATAATCCTTGAGAAAATGCTCTAGCTTCGTTTTGTTTACGTTGTTCAAGTAAAGTCATTGATGATGGAGCTGGTTGTTGGTCTTCTGAGGCGTCAATACTATCAAGTAAATCGTCCATTTTCGGTTTTATAATCAAAAAAGAAATAAACCTAAATATTAACTAAATGTTATATTGAAAAAGTATTAAATGTGAAAAAGTTAAAGGGAGAAAATTAAGACTTCAATAAAATAAGGAACCAGGGCGGCAAATGATTAGTCCGCGCGCCTCAGCTTGTAATAATCCTTGAGAAGCTTGTAATCAGCTTGTAATAATCCTTTTGTTTAGTAAAATGATGAAATGGTGTCGTTATGCTATAATGGCATAAATAATCTGTAAAGACTCTTTTGCAGGACTCTTTTGTCTTTACATTTATTTTCAGTCTCAACACAAACCTAAACCTTTAGGCTTGCTTGTCAATAGAGTCTCGGCGACTTAGCATCAAAACGCCTTTTGCTATGCCATAACTTTTTTTATTTCGATCATTTCTAGAAATTTTCTTTATCAATTAGAATCTATGTTTGTTTTTATTCTTTTTATTAACTTTATGAAAGGATCCGATGATTTCTTAGAAAGTTACACCCGCCTAAGTATGTTAAATCACGATTATTCGCAGTTAACGGCTCCTAACTTTTTTGAAAGACGGTAAAACTAAACAATTTCTATGAAAAAATAACCAGAACATCCAGAGCTTTTAATTAAAGCAAAAATTATTTGGATTGATTTAAAAACAAAAAAAGTTATATCCCAAAAACTTTCGTTTTGATGCCATATTTTCAGACTCTTTCGTTACCTGGTAGATTTTAGCCTAAACCTTTTGAAGCCTAAACCTTTAGGTTTTTGGACATTTGAGTCTCAGCACGCCCCCAAATTTTCTTTATAGTTTTGGCTTTTTTTATCGTTTGGTCTTCTTAATTGGTGTATAAAGATGATCTTAGGCTGATATTCTGGTAATAGAAGTTCCATAAATTAAGAAATTCTTGGGATTCATAACGGGTGAATTTTTTCTGTAATACTGTTTTTCAAAATTTATGTTTTCGAAAATACATATACCGTCGCTTTGTTGCTCAGAATGGCATGTTTTTTCGAATAAAAATTAGAAGAATGTTGTTGTTGTTGGTCTGTTAAAGAATTGAAAGAGGAGGAATTCCTTGAATTTAGAGGAATCCCAGCTGCAGCAACTGCATAGGCCATAGCCGTTGTTGATGGTGAATTATTATTGTTTGAAGTGGAAGAGCATGAAGAAGAATTGTTGTTCATGGCTTCTGAATCGACCTTTGGCTTCTGAATCGACCTTTTCCCGATCCGTCGCGGTATCGTTCTGCGCGGCACTGTTAGGCAGGGTTAAGATGTTTCGGCGCCTGTGGTATAACGCCTTTTACGTATCCTGTACTTTCGTAAGAGATCAGTTTCGTCTGTGATGCGTATTTTTTAAAATAATGATTAAATGATGAAATTAACGAAGCGAGGAGATTGATAATTAAATTTCTCTAATTGAGATAAATTCTCTAAAATTCACAATTTTTGAAAATTTGGAGTTTGAAAGTGCCTCCGCCATCCCCCCTGTACTCACTTGTTGAACATCTGTAGAAGTTATGTGAGTAACATTCATACATAGTTATGAGATTAACATTCATTATGAGATTAACATTCATACATATTATCTTTAATAATTTAAAAAAATTCCTTTACAAAATATTCCTTAATTCAAAATATTCCCATAAACACAATGTAAAATTTTTTATGTTTATAATGTTTATTTTCAAATTGGCATAAAAATTAAGCATTTGACAGTTAGTTACTACAAGCAAAACAACCAAAACATTTAAAAAGAAAGAAGTCAGCAGAAAAAGAAAAAAAAAAGAAAAATTCAGCATCATTAGTAGTGCCAATTATTTCATTATTATTTAATAATTCAAAAATATTCCCCCAAAATATTTTGTAATAAAAAAATATAATCCTTTTCTTTATTCAACAAAACATTAACACATGTCCCGCCCTCTTTTTCTACGTATTTATATGTTAAATTAATGTAATTCTCCACATAATTTTGTTTTTTTTAAATAATTTTTTTGTGTTTTTACACATAAATAAAAGTTGAATAAGAATTTTATTGAATTAATTTAAATTAAATAAAATTGTAGTTAGATATAAATTACACTTAATATCAAAACAAGAAAATTACCAAAATTGGGCTATTTTGGTTTAGAATCTGATTAATTATTAAAATATTATTTTTGTTCTAAATTAACCTAAATTTATTTTAAGGAAATTTTTATTTTATTAATTTATCAAAGATTTTTCTGATATTTTTCTTCAATTTAATTTCATAAAATCTTCAAATTCTTCAAATTCTTCTTCAAATTCTGATTTTAATAAAGTTATTAATTTAAATTAATTAATTATTTTTCTTATTTTTAGAAGGTTATGACGCCTTTAAGCAATAACGACAACCTTCAATTTAACTTTATGGAAGAGAAGAAAACAAATCCGTCTTTTAAGCGTGAAATGAAAGTTTTTAAGGAGGAAATGGAGGAGGTAGGGGGTTTTTAATGATAATTCTTTTAGAGGTTGAATTAAGTAATCCTTTAAAAATGCCATATTTTCTTTTCCCTTTATATTCAAGTTTGTCATATATTTCTTAAAAATCTTCAATTTATTAAAAATTTCAGGAAATTCAAGAAATCAAATCTGAACATAAAAAAGAAATTAAAAATTTAGAACAAAACTTTCAACAATCAATTAATGAGAAAATTCTAGCAAATGTAAATATAATTAATTTTAATTATAAATTAATTTAAATTTAGAATAAAGAAATTATTAAACATTTGGAAATTAAATTTCAAAACAAATATGGCAATAAAATTTCTGCTTTAGAGCAAGAGATTGTTGAATTAAAACTTAAATCGGAACAGAAAGATAATTTTAGTGTGGTTAGTTATAATATTTTTATAAATATTTAAAGTTTTTTCTAAAGAATTTTGTTCAAATTAAAAATAAATGGAGTAAAATTCAGTATGGTAAATGTTGTGGAAATGAGTGTATAAATACGGACAAACCCGTTGGTAATTGTATTGAAGGAAATGGATTTATTAATATAATTGATGATGAAACGATTAAATATATTAATTGTGTTGGGGAAGGTAAATTTGCTAATGAAATCCAATTTAATTGTTTTATTAAATATTTTAGGTGAAAATAAAGCTGCTGGTATTACCGCTGAAAATAAATTTAACAAACCAATAGACGATTCCATAAATTATTCTCTGTTTTATTTTGAAATTAAATGTAAAATTGAGGGTGTGAAAAGTGGTGAAAACTATATGGTTATTGGTCTTGGCAATGAGTATAGTGGGATTTTCTTTGTTATTGATGCAGCCTTTATTGGTTATAAATCTATACACAAAAAAATCAAATTTAAACTTCCTAAATTGTTTTGGAACGATGGAGATGTTTTTGGTTTTGGATTAGTATATCCACCTAAAATAAATGAATTACCTTATGTATTCTTTACTCAAAATGGAAAATTAATTGGTAAATAAAAGTTCATTTTAAATATTTTAATTTAAATATATTTAGGTAAATCTTTATTATTGAAAAACCATTATCGTGACAGTTATGAAATTTTCGTCCATCTAAAACGTTGTTCTATTGAAACCAACTTTGGAAATGATTTGAAGGCTAAACCATTTGTTTATAATATTAACGAGCATTTAGCGCCGAAGGAGTTTTATATTAATTCTGCTGGTTCTATTATTGACAATTCTCTTGCTAGTAAATTTTCAGAAATTTTTAATTATCAAGGAAATATAAAAACAAATCTCTTAATCAAAATTCCTAATGGAAAATACAAAAAATATATTTAAGGTATGATGGCGGCAAGAGGGATAGCGGCAAGAGATTTCCTTAGAATGTTTTCAGATGATGATTGAAGGAGGAATGTGTTTAAAAAACGATTTCAATAAAAAATACTGACTTTCAAAAAATTATACGGATTTTACAAATTTACATATTTTTACATAATCCATTTTAAAAATACATAAATTTGCATACATTAAGCAAATATTGATACTTAATTCGTCGGGATCGGTCTTCCTTCTCTCATAATATAACTACCGAAAATATAATTTTCGGATTATGAATCATATTTAAAATATTTTCTATGAAAACAACCTTGATATCTAATCATTTTTTAGTGAATATTTGAAAAATAAAATTTGATAAAAATATCAGAATTTTGTATATAAAAATTCTGATAATGACGAATCACTTTTTTATATCACCGTTCTCATTAACCTTACAGAAAGACTTGAAGATTACACATTTTTTGGATTATACACTAACACTAATTATCTATTTAAAAATTTTCTAGACAAAATTAAAATTAATTTAAAAAAAAGCAAAGAATATATGTTTGTTTTCTTTTAAAAAATGCACATTTCGAAGTGTATATGACCTGTAATTTTGATAAAAAATATTTTTGTTGGGATAATAATAAATTGGGATGATACAAATAAAAATTAGAGAAAAGCAAATAATAAAAAACTAATTTTTTGAGAGTAATAAACAAAACAAAATTACAAACGTGAACTGGCTAGTGCTTAAAAATTAAAATTTATTTAATTTCATTAATTTCTAAATCGTTAAAGCACTAGCAAGTTGTAATAAGAAAAAGTTACTATGGTTAGGTATACATTATTTTTTGGGGAAAGAGCTAATAATTAAAATATTTTTCAATGATTCTTGTATTTATGGGTTTTCCATACAATGTAAAAATTGTTAATTTTAATTGAATTTTTTTGAATATGACTAGAAAATTTTAAGGCAAAATGTTATGTACATTTAAAAGATATTTTTTAAATTCTTTCCTTCATTACTTCAATTTGAGCAATTTTTAATAAAAACTTTAATGTAAAATCATTAACTTAAGGTAACATTGTGACCATTATTTAAATCAACCAATTGTTCTTGTTGAATTGTTCGAGTACGTCGAACTAAAATTATTTTTTTATATATAGGAAGAAACAAGGGAATAACTGGGGGTTCTTTTGTTATTCCTTGATTATTGAAAATCCGATGTTAACTAGGAAATAGCCATTTAATTTTGTCCTTTTTTGTTTAAATATTTTTATATCTTACCAATATTCTAACTAAAACATATAAACTTACGAGATTTTCTATGTAACACTCTCGCCCTCCTCCTTCCAGCTTCACGCGTGTCCGTCTGTGCCGTCACAGTACGAACAACTCCATCAAGCAATTCATCATTATAATCATCCCCACCAACTATTTCTGCAGCATTAATTGGCTTTTGTGATGGTCTAGTATTTCCCAATTTTTTTCGAGTTAAAGTTTCATCACCGTTTGATAAACCTCCACCGCCAGTTAATAAACGAGACATTTCTTGGTGTCTCTAAAAATTCGAGAAATCTAAAAAACAATCCAACTATTTACCTCTTTATCAGTCATTAATTCAGCACCCCCTTCCTTTGCCCCTCTCCGTTTATTTATCACATTTCCAGCAACATTTTGTGCAGCCCCAATCATCATTCCCCTTGTTTTATTCCTTTCACGTTTATCAGCTAAACGTTTACGAGTTTGTAATATTTTATCTCTAGCTGTTCGATATTCTAATGCAAACTCAATAACCATTTTAAATACATTTACAGGTTTCTGATCTTTAACTTCACTTGGTGAATAGCCAAAATAAAGTAGAAAAGCATTCCATCTATGAGAATTTAAAGAATATTACGGGGCTTTATTTTAAATTTTTGCTAAACCCGAGGTCCTCAGGCAACTTTTAATTCGAATTTCTCTTAAGTTTTCTGGGATAAATCTTCGTGGAGTGGAAATTCGGGGAATGCGTTACTTAAAAATATCCCTATGAAGGAAGGTCCCTGGAAAATTCTAATCGAAAAAGTTAGGAAATTTCCGAGCTTATTTGATTGCGGATTCAGAATCACAACCCTTACCCAACAGTTACAAACACAAATCTCTCACCTATGTGCAGTAGTTCTCTGAACATGTTTAAGTCGATGAATACGTTCAGCTACTTCAGTAAGGAAATCATTAACTTTCTTTTTCATTGAACTATTATTATCTTTTTGTGAGATTTTAGCAACATAATCAAAACAATTTTTGCAATCTTGTTCCATCTTTTTTAAATTATCAAAGAATGCTTCAAAATCTAACTAAAATTTAAACAAAATATTTTTGTTTGAAAATTTTTTCTTACTCTCGAACTTCTAGAAACAGAACCCAATTCAGAATACATATCACTTCCCTCTGTATAATGATCAATCATGTATTCTGCCAAATGATGTGTTAAAGGGTATTTATGTACTGGATCTTTAACTTCTGAAGCGCGAGATAAATAATCCAATTGAAATGCTTTTATCTTTAAAAGAATGAAAAATAAGAGAGAATATTTAAATAAATAGGTACATCTGTGCCATTCAAAGCATTTCCAATGGCTAAAAGCATTCCCATTGCAGCACGGAAAGTTTTTGATTCTTCCACCTTTTTTTGAAAGGATTTATTTTTATTATATTATTTATTTTAATTTTATTTAAGTATGTATACATAGGAATAGGAATATTATTTTTCTTTAATTTTTCTTTAATTGCTTTTAAACTTTATATTTATCAAGTATCCTGCTGACAAAAAATTATTATGTATTAAAGTATCAAAATCAAATTTTCTCTGATTCTGAATTTAATTTCCTTATGATTTTTTCTGATTTTTCAATTATAAATTTTCCGATATATTTAAAAATTTAAATTTATTTTCCTTTACTTGTTTCATAGCATTATTCCATTCCATTAAGGCATCAGCAACCTCTTGCTCCACATTTTGATAATCCAACATAAATAACCACAAACGTAATCTTTCCAATAAACAATCAATTTCTGACAAAGAAAGCATAAATTGTTCAGCAGGTCCGAGGGGAGTATCTGGCTGTTCTGCTTGGGCTTCACGAATTCTTTCAACTTCCTCTAAACTTGGCATCATTGTTGAAAGAATTTTTTCAATTCCTTCTTTATTTAAAACTGTTGCATCGAATTTCTAAAATAAAACTATTTTTTGAAGTTTTTTTTATTCCTAAACTTACTCTAATCGCTGTTGGGATGACATTAACAGGGGGCAATTTAGTTAATCCAATATTGATAGCTTGTGAACGTTTGACTGATAATACTTGTAACATTTGTGGTTTTGATTCTGTTCCGGTTTTCTTAAAATAAATTTTTAAATATACCCTCCTTACAAACACCACCCACCTTAACAACAACTTCTTTCGGTTTTTGTTCAAAAAGTCTAGCCAACTTAGTTGTATCAATCTGTGCTGGTTGTCCAGATACTTTTGACCAAAATGTTCCTTTTCTTTTTAAAGCAGGTACTGGAGGGGCTTCGTGCTGGGCTTCTTTCCAATGTAATTTAAGCAAAGAATTTTTAGAAGAAGATGGGCCTGGAGAAGGCTCTCGAAGTGAACGATTTCCTGAGCCTGGAGCTTGAAGGCCCATTGGTGGAGGTGGAGGGACGCCTCCAGCCATTGGAGGAGGTGGTGGGGGAGGTGCTCCAACTGTCAAATTTTTAATAAATTTAAAGCAAATATTTGAAATTAATTTTTAAATTAATTGCCAATTTAAATTAGATTACTCCTGAAATAAAATTATTAAATTTAATTACCTAATGGTGGAGGTGGAGGAGGTGCTCCACCGCCACCAGGCAACAATCCCCTATCCTGTGCCATTTGCGCCATTTTAGTTAAAACAAGAGGATCTTGTTCAAAATCAGAAATAAATTCTGAGAAGTCTAGATCGTTAATTATCATCTGAAAATTATTTTTCAACAATATATTCAACAAAAAAACTGACAGGTTTCTCTTTAAGTCTTTCCCCAGCTTCTTTCCATTTTTGTTCAGATTCCGAAGCTTTTGGTTCAACCAATTTTCGAAGATTTGATCCACTCTCCATTTTCTTTGCCCTTCTTTGAAGCATTGCTGCAAACCCTCCACCACCACCTCCATCATCATCATCAGCAATAATTACCTAAATAATTAAATTTAAATATTTTTATTTGAATCCTTCTCTCACCTTTTTAGGTTTAGAAGGCTCAGGTGGAGGCGGTGTTAATTCTTTAACTGGTGGAGGCTCAGGGAAGTCCATACTTTTGTGTTCAGTTGGAGAGAATATATTTGTTGGGATCATTGGAGGGGGTGCTTTAACGGGAGGAGGTTTTGTTTCTTCTGGTGATGAAGGCTAAAAAATAAAAAGATTTTAGTTCAAACGTTTTTCTTCCCCTTCCTTCCAACCTCATCAATATTTTCCTTTTCCAATTCCAACTTTTCAGGTTTTACGACATTCATTTCTGATATTTTTTGTTGTTTTTTAGCTTCAATATTTAAACTTTGCTGGAATTTATCAGACATTTCATCCAAAGTTGCATTCATTTCCAATCTTTGTTTTGAAGGTTCCACCACTATTTGTTTGTGTAAAGTACTAGTTCCATTAGTTAATATTTGTTGGTGTTTTGGTGTTTCTTGTAGTTTTTGCTGTTGTTCTTCAATTTTATTATTGAATATTTTTTTAGCATTATGTTGTTGACGAATCATTATTTCTTCGTGTTCTAATTGTTTTTTGCGCATTTGATTACGACGATCAGTGGCTACAGCATTTCCGTTTAATCTATTTTTTGATTAAATTTATTTAGAAGTTAAGTGCTTCAAAACTAGAGTTATACCCTTAGACAGAAAGTCAGGGGGTTTGAAAATTTTTAAAAATTCCCATCACCTCCCCTTTACGGAAAATTTTCCACGTCCTCACCCCTGAGAGTAATTTTGGATAAAAGATATTATTAACCCTTTCTTCATAAATAATATAGGCAATTATATGCAGACGTCGAGGCATTTAAATAATTACTTTAACATATCAAACTTTTAAATTTATATAAGAAATATTTGTAATTACCTCATTTTGGCCACACAATTCTGCGCGCCATTAGAAGCCCCTCCCCCTAAGGAAGATGTATCACTTTCAATAGCGGCATCTTCCCTTCTCAATTCTTGTTCATATAAAGCACATTGTTGGCTTAATTGAGTATTGTTTAATTTACAAAGGGTGGCCAAAGAATCATTCATTCCTTGGCTTTCGAGAGCTTCAATTGCATCAAAATATGTATCCTTTGAATTTATTATTATTTAAACAGACTCATTTAATTAATTTACTTGATCTGGAACTCCATGTAAAGTTTTATTTATTACAGTCATTCCAAAAACGAGAGTTTCGTGATCGCTGGCCTGAACATCATTTAAAATTCGCATAAGGCTACACCAATCTGGTTGGTCTTTAAAAGAATAATTTTAAAAATAATTTAAAATTATTTTTTTTACTTTTTCCTCTTTCCACTTTCGAAATAGCCGCGAGAAAAAGTAGAGAATTAGGTTCTGTATATTCAACAAAAACTAAAAGCAATTTTAACGCTGTTTTGACAACAAGTCGATACTGAAAAATATTTTTTAATTTAAAAAAAACCAAAAATATATTTAATAAAAACAAAATAAAAACAACAAAAAATAACAGCAAAAACATAAAAACACGCACCCAAGAAACATGTGGAGTACTGAGTGAACGAAAGCTTTGCTTGTCATAGAGCTGAAAAGTTTTAGATAAAAAAAGAAGCATTTTTAAAAACAAAAAATAATGAATAAAATAAATAAAATTAAATCAAACATAAATTAAATCAACACATAAGGAGCCCCTCTGTTATCGTCCCTTGGGGACTAAAAAACGATATTTAAAGACATACTTATTTAATTTAAAATTAAAAAATATTTTTAAATTCCCCCATTTTTTAAAAAATAAAATTGGAAGTAAAAAAAGTTAAGAAAAAAAGCACAACCAAAAAATATATGATTGGACAAAAATAAAATCAAAAGGGCATTTTTAAGGTAGCGAAGAAAATACTATTTTGTTTAAAAACAAGTATTGAGAGAAAGGAAAACACGCTCAAACTAAAAAAAATTTTTTTAAATTAAAATTCTACACTTAAAATTAACTAAAAATAAGCAAAAAAAACAAAATTACTAAAAAATAATTAATTTAAAACAAAACTCACAGGAGAATCTAGCAATTCATATAACCAACAAATTGTATCATTATGAGCAATTACTCCATTCATTCCATCAACATAAAGCATTAACTGCCCCAAAGCTCTTAAAATGTGATTTTGATGGTTTTGATCACTTCCACGGCCCTAAAGAAAATTTTTATTTAATTTTTATCATAAAGGAGGGCTGTCTACAAAATAGAGGGTCAGACTTAAAAAAAATTCCCCACCAATTTAACAAGTGCTTCAAGGCCCCCATTTTGTACAAAAGCATGTACAAGGTCCTTGTCTTCCTGAAAAAGGCTCTTTAAAGTAAAGAGAGCCCCTCTCTGTTCTCGTCCAGAAGTGTAAAGTAATTTCTCAATTATTGCCTTGACTCGTAATGCTGGTTGTTGACGTAGTAATAAAGTTGTATGGATTCTTAAAAAATTTTACAAAAATAAATTTTTGAAATTTTAGTTCAATTTATTATTTATTCCCAAATTTTTATTAAAGAGCAAAGGGGAATTAATTAATAAATAAATACACATTTCAAAAACTAACCCAAACTCATTATTATTATTAACATCAAAATCAAAAAGTTCATCTCCTAAATTAGTTTTTCTGTTTCTCCTTTTCTTCTTTTTCTTTTCTGATTTTTTATCCTCAATATTATTTTCAGCTTTAATTTCATTAGCAAAATTTATTTTCTCTAACAATTCTCTACTCTCTTTAATTTTCTCTTTATTTTCTGATATTTCAGAATTAATAAATTCTGATGAATAAATGTTTTTATAAACATTATTGTTTTGTTCAAATGTTTTGTGTTTCTCTATTTGTTGTGTTTGTAGCCGTGTTTGATGTTTTTGTTGTTTTTCCTCTTCTTCATTTCTCTTTAAATGTTCAAATGTTTTTTCTGTAGCAAAACTTTTATTAAAAGCAGCAACATTAAAAATGTCTTTATTATCGTGTTTAACACCAATTTGTTCACTTTCAATAAATTCTTCATCGATATAACGAAGTTTTTCGGTATTCGGAAGAATTCTCGAATTTTTATAAAAATCGCTAGAAATTCCAAAACGTCGATTAGTTAAACAATCAGAAGAATCAAAAATTCTGTTTGTTGTTTTATTTAATTCAAAATGATTGGGTAATTCTGATGTTTCGAATAAATGATGATTTGGAACTTTTCCAAATGGAGAAGAGGAAGAAATTGCAGCCATATTTTAACAAAATTTTTACCCAAATTTAGGCAAAGAAGAAGAAAATATCAACTTGAATTTTTTAAAAATAATTTTCAAATTTGTTTTGTGTGTTTTATGTCTCCTCACAAATTTATGAGGATTTTTATAGAAAGAAAGGGGTCAAAATTTTTATAAAAAAATTGTCGCTAATTTTTTAGTGGAATTTGTTGATGGACTTGAAAATGAAAAAAAAGGAATTTAAAAATAAAATAAAAAATAATTTTTTTTGTACGCGCAATGCTTGAATAATTAATTTTATTATTTAATGCTGCAAAAGTAAAAGAATGCGAGGCGTTGAAAGTTTTGTTTGATTCACAGTTGTGGAATTTTATCGTCGCCAAAATTTCTTTTCTAAATAGTTTGTTATCTCTTTTCTCGTCTTTTCACTTATTTCCAGATATTGTCTGTATGCAATTTTGCAATTATGTAAAAACTTTCTTTTTATTTGTAAAGAAAAAAAAGTTAAAAAGGAATTTGAAGATATGTATATCTATTTAAATAATCAAAAGGTTATTTAGATATACGTAGAAAAAAATGAGAGCATTATGAGTACAAATAATTGAAAAATTAATTGAATTTCGAATTTGTTAATTTAATTTCAGGAACAAAATCCTTGGTAGAAATTAACAAAAAATAGAAACAAATGAACATAACTAATTTTGTAACTTAACCCCCTTCACCCATTCTAAAGTTCCCCTCTTCCCTAATAAAAATTTTAAATATTTAAATATTTCATAATTTAAAATATAAAAAATAAATTTTTATAGAAAAAAATAACGCAAATTCTTGTGTGCGGCAGTAAAGCAAGAAATTGACTTCAAGGCGTGAATATGGAAAAGATAGGAGAGGAGGACTAGATTTCGGCTGTGCTGCGCATAAGAGGAATTATAAGAAAATCAGGAATTGACTCTGCACGGGTATTTTGAAAAGAATTTTTGGAAAAATGTTGAAGAGAAGGACTCTTGAAAAGAAGAAAAATTATAAATATATATTCAATAGAGAGGTTATTGAAGGAAGGGGGAAGGTTGTTGCCGTTGGCGCAGACTATCGTTGAAATTTTTGTGAGGAACAGAAGGAGTTGTATAAAATGAATTTAATAAATTGCACAACCTCATTTTTGCAAAAATTTATTTGAAAAGACTGTTGAGGGAAAAAGAGGGGGGAGGAGGTCAATAAAGGTAAATAGAAGTTGGTAATTGAAGAACTATATTACCCAAGATTCCAGAATTCTCTAAAACTTGGTAGATTTGTAAGGATTACGATACCACCAAAATAATTTTTGGTCAATATTAAAGTAAAATGGACAGTTCTTTGTTTGGTTACTCATTTAGTGGCCAATCTCTACTTATTTACCACTAAACAAATAAAAGAAAAATATTCTCTAAATCATCTGCGCAATCCAACAAAAAAAAGATACTAACTAGATTGGCTGTCCATAAATGGAGAAAATATTAAAGTGACAAATGGTCCTTTGGGGGGAAATTAAAGAGAGAAAAAGAGTCAAGGAAAGCTGCGCAATTAATTTAACCACATACAATCCACAAAAAATTGAGTAAAATATTAAAAATAAATAATAATATTAAAAATATTTTAAAATATAAATTAGTCTTAATTAAATTTTAGAGAAAAAAAATATATTTTAAATTAATAGAAATATTGGAAGGATCTGATAAAGGGATAGGGCAATCCAGGTAATCATTAAGTAGAGATTCGATTAGATAATTTTGTGAAAGAAGCAATATGTATATTTTTTATAAATTAATAAAATGCAACAAAAATAATTAATTCTAAATTCAATTATTATACCTATTAATATTTAACAATACACTTTTTGGACAAAATAACTAGTAAATGAAATTATAATTTACAAATAAATATCTAGTTTTTGCACTTAAAGTACATATATTTATTAATCTGCAGTAAATGTAAAATGACTTTGTCCTAATAAGAAAAAAATATATTTAGGAGAAATATATCTTCGCATAAAAAAATAAAATTAAAAAGGATGTCCACTAATAAGATAAATTCGCTGAAAACTTAAATTTCAGAAAAATTCATGTAAAAGAATCGAGAAGGAACCCTTTAAAATGATTGTATTTTTAGGAAGTGATAATTAAAAATTGAAGAAGATACGACAACTGATTTTAATTCAAAACAAATTCTTTTGATTATTTAAAAATAATTTTGTGTTGATGACGGGAAAATGCGGAGTTTTTAATAAAAAAAGAGAAAATATAAAAAAAAGCAGGTCATCATCATCCACTTATTTTTATAAAAGCACCCAAAATTATTTTTTCTGCCACCTTCAAAATAAGGAAAGATGATGGGAGGGGGGATATTCTCTATTGAAAAATAAATATTTTTAGGAATTGTTCTCTGCGCGAAAAATATTGAAGTGGTACTAAAAAGGATTTAAAAAAGTATAAGAAAAGTGTTTTTGGAATATATTTGGATTTAGTATGTTTTGATGACAAGTTGAATATGTGTAGAATGGAGGGAATTATAGATGGTTTAAGTAAATATATTTTGTTTGAGTGATTGGAATAGAAAAATAAAGAAAAATATTAAAAAAAGAAAATAGGAAGTTTTTTAAAATAATATTTATAAAGATAAGGCTTTAGTAAATGGGAAAAATGGCATTAAATGAAACTCCCGGGGTTTTGTTGGTATTTTATTGGAATGTTTTGTGGAGGAATTTATGAGTAAAGTTATGAAACAAATTTTATTCAAATTCACCCTTTTTTTCCAATTTTATAACAATTTATTTGGCCGTCAAGTGAAATTTAATCCTTAAAGACAAGTTACACCGTAAAATAAGTACAAAAGTAAATATATAGGTAGGTAAATGCGTGAATATCATCAAAATCCTTTCATCTCCCCTTTCATTCAATGCCAAAAAAAAATCAAAAAAATATTTATAATATAGACCACCCAGACAAAACGGACACACGCTTTGCTATTGTTTAGCTTTAGGGATAAATCCATTAGTTGAGTAAATACACAAAGAATAAATAAATATATAATCTATCTATACTAAATAGAAATGAAAAGAAAAAAAGTCACAAAAATATACTTGCAAAAATAATAAAAAGTACAAAATCAAGCAAAATTTATAAAAAAGGGTTTATTTATACAGACAGAATCTATGTTGCATATCAGAATAGTAGCTTTACTTTTGAAGGATTATTTTAGATAAGGTGAATAGTAGTTGCCACTTTATTCTGCAATAAAAAAGATACGCCCCTAGCCAACTAGCGCTACCCCTAAAATAATACAGAATTTAACAGAAGAATTTCAGGTCAGGATATCCAAAGATTTTCCAGGATCGAAATTCTAAAAATAAAGTCTTTGAAAAGAGATAATAGGTATTAAAGATAAATGTATATTTATGTATTAGAGAAAAATCAAAAAATAAATAAAAAAACGTTATTTTTAATTAAAAAATATTTTTTCTTCCTTCCAAACAAAAATACTAACCCACTAATTATTAAATTCTTACAAAACATGTATTTATTTATTTTATAATTTATATTCCTTTTTTGTTCTAATAATTATTCTAATTATATTTTTAAAGTTCCGGCTTTTTCAGACAACAAAAAATAATTATTAGAGTGGAAAAGGAGAGAGAAAAGAGGGAGAAAATATGTACTTGTATGTAAAAGAATATAGTATTTTTAAAAAATTTAATTTTTTAAAGAGAGAACTCACGGTTCATTTTGCAACAATTCCAATTCCTCAGTTTGTTCACTTAAAGTTAATTCCGAATCCAAATAAGAAGCAAATTCATCTCCATTTTTAATTCCACTACATTGTACTTGAAGGCAACAATCTCCACTCTTTTAAATTTTTAAAAAGCAAAAAAATTTCTTCAAATTTCTTCCCTCCCCCCTTCTTCTTCCAAAATTCCCCATTTTTTTATTACCTTATGTGGAGCTCTAAGTAATTTAATTAATTCAGGTAATTGTTCAGAAATAGATCTATGTAGCTGTAAATTGCATTGAATGGGCTTTATTGGCTCTCTGTGAAGACCGGCATTTGTTGAAGAACAACGAAAAGGGTCTATATCGTTAACAAATTGAATACGGCATCTAAAAAATATTTTTTTAATTTTAAATAAAAATTACTTTCTAAAGTTAATTTTGTAATTATAAAGGAAAGAAAAATAAGTATATATCTCCATAAGGAGGTTATGTATTAAATAAAAATATTTATTTACTTAATCAGTTCTTGAGAATCAGGTGAAGAGGTTCCATTTTGCGTTGTTGAGGATAGAGTCATTAGAAAATGAAGAAAATTAAAAAAAAATAATTTGAAGTTATTATAACTAAAAATGTACTAAAATAAATAAAATTAATTAAAGAATAAATATAAAATCACGAAAATTAATTTTTTTGTTTTAAAATTAAACCGTTCCTAATCAATTTTGGTCATTAACAGAAAAATAATGAAAATTAATTTTAAAATATTACAGATTTTACTATCAATCTATAGTACTTAATTAATTAACTTTAAAATTAAAGTAAAATTAAAGGTAAAATCTAGTAAAATCTATACCTATTTTTTAAACTGCACTAAAATAAAAAGAAGAAAAATAAAAAATAAAACAAATCAAAAGATTAAAAAATTATATAAGAATATTTTTTCGCAGCTGCTTTTTGGGCTTTATATTTTTTAACATTTTCTACTTTAACTCTTTTAAATAACAAAAAAGCTAACAAGCTTTAAAGTTTTTTTTCAGTACGCGTCACATGTGTATATAAAATATATTTTAGAGAATATTTATTCTTTTGGCATGAATAAAAAATAACCGATTGGCCATGAATGTGTTTGATTTTTCACTGATTTTCGATAATAGAAAGGAAAGAAAAGAGGGGAAATGGAAGAAGCAAAAAAAGGGAAAGATCGTTCATGGACTTTTAAAAAAAGTGATCGAGATTTCGGGTAAAAATATTTTTTTGTTTATTGTCTATTTAATAGATCCTCCAAACAATTTATAAATATTGTTAGACAGAATTTAATGAAACAAGGAAAGAACGTAAAATTTAAAAAAAATTATAAATTTTGGTAAAATTAAATAATGTATACAAAATTGACAGAAATTAATTTTTAAAAAAGCAGATTTCAAGGTTGCCAGAATTCAAAAAATACATAAGAGGGAAGATATAAATCTAGATAAATATTTTTAATTTTATAATACATATTTTAATTTTTATTATAAAATAAATTAAAAATGGACAGAAAATTATGAGAAAATCTGACAAAGGCCAACAACAAGCAAAATTATTTGACACAAAATTTAGTGTATATATTACACAGGATATGTAGGTAGAAAGGTAAATGAAGGGGGAGATAAAGGAATGTGTGGAATTAGTAAAAGTCAATCGATCAAGGCCGGAAGAGGTGAAAGAAATTGAAAAAAGGAGATTTTTTGTTAAATTAAGGGGGGGGGGAATAAAATTGGGAATTTAGAAAGAATTTTAATTTTAAAGAAAGTTAAAGGTAAATTTAAAAAATTTAAAAAACGAGATAAAATAGGAGAGGATTTTTTAAATGCGCAAAATCTACAAGGAGTTAGTAAATAATTTATATAAAAAATAAAAGAAGTAATAAAAATAACTTAAAAACGTTAATGTTTATTTAATTTAAGTAAAAATATTTTTATATAAAATAAATCTTTTAATTTGCGTCTCCTCTTTTCCGTTTTGATTGTGTTCACTAAAAACTATCTATCTCTACTATCTAAACATAAAATTCTTGAAAAAGAAAGGAAGAAAAACAAAAAAATCCGGTCCTTGATTTTTAGTTGCGGAATTAGAAAAAGTAAATAAAAATAAAAATAATAAATTTTTATACAAAATATAAAGTAAAATATCCAGAAAAAAGATAAAACGATTTTAAATATTTAATCGGATATAATAATAATAATTAAAAATAAAGCAAGAACTGAGACGATATCTTATTCAAAAATAACGGTTATCGAACTCGAGATTTTTTCGAGATAATGATCTCGATTCTTCTACAATCCTCTCAGTCCGAACTCTAACTGAAAATAATTGAAGTGAGGATTATGTAAGGATTTAATACAAATTTTAGAGAAAATGGTTAAGATCAGATATAATTAAAAAATCTATGTTTAAAAATTTATTTACTTCAGGCCTGGTAATGCATTTTCCTAAATATTCTAGGCTAATACATATAATATAACCATTTGTAATAAATAAATAAATATTAGTCTATACTATACATATACCTATTTATTTATTTAGTAAACATAATGCTTTAATAGAAATATTTAAGAAAATTAAAAAATTGGTTAAATAGAAAATTTAAAGGACAAAAAATTATTTTAATTTTTGGAGAAAGCTTGTGAAAATTAATTTTAAAAATAAATTAAGAATCCATTAGAAAATTAAAAAAATATTTTAAAATAATTGTTGAGAATATTGACAAAAAATCTTAGAAAATGCAGAAAAAGTAAAAAAAGGATGAATAATAAAAATTGAAGGAATTTTAAGAATTTAAATGATTTTTAAAAATATTTTTTAATTAAAAATAGAAAAAGAAATTGAAAAAAAAAGTTTTGGGAAAATTAATTTATTTAAAAAAATTCAGGAAAAATTTTATGTAAAAATTGATTTTTAAACAAAAAATTAAAGGAATACATAATTTTACTTAATAAATTTTAAATTTTTTATTCCAAAAAATATTTGGTAATTTATGTAAGGAAAGAATTGATTAGGTAACTTGTTTTGTAATAAAATTAGAAAAAAATTATATTTATAATTGAATGCTAATTCAGTCAATTTGTGTTAATGTAAGGGGAATGGGGGAGTTTATTACAAAAAATATTAAATATTTAAAAATATAATGGGGGAATAAATATGTAATTATACATATCTTTGTATATTGTAAATCAGGTATTATAGTAGTAGATTTATTTAAAAATTGGAAAAGATTAAAAAAAACAAATGAGTGCCAGTTTGGAAATGAAACAAATAAGTTATTTCCATTTATTTCAAAATATTTATAATTTTTCATCAAAGAATCATTATAAGCGAAATAAAAATAATTTATTTTTAAATTTAATAAAAATTAGAAATCTAAAAAAAAGGAAAAAGGATATATAAAATATAAAATTATAAATTTTTAGTCGTCAAAAACAAAGAAATTTTTAACTTTTACTAAAGAAGGTGTTTTGGTGCGCAATAAAAGTAAAAAAAGAAAAGAAAAAGGAACTTTGATTGACGGAAAAGATTTTAGTAAAAGTTAAAAATAAATAAATATAAATGTATTTAGTCTAATAAAATGTAAATCAAACCAATGATGTGGAAAAGGACAAAAAAATGTGAAAAAATGTTTCGAGGATCAAAAATAATGTAAAACGTTTCACCCAATCGAAATTGAATGCACCGATATTGTATTTAACAATAGATTTTCTCAAACTCGATAAAAATTGATAATTTTTTGTGGTGGACTCTAGGGGAAGAAATGGAAAGTTACAAAAATAGGATTAATTTTAAGGAGAGGTAACCCGTCTTTTTATGTCTGTGGATTGGCGCCGGCTGGGCGCAGCTAGGTGAGATTGTGCCATCAAGAATAGGGGTACAAGAACTGATCTTTCAGTTTTTGAAGCTTCAATTATGAAGAAAAACGTGAAAATAAATTTATATAAGTTTGTAAGGTAAACAAAAATTAAAACAAATTACTAACCAAATTAGGAAAAAAAATAAAAATAATTTGATTTGTTATTTATTTTTAACAAGTTTTCTCTCTTCAAACGCTAAAACAGTATTAAATAATTAAATAAAAATGTTTAGGTAAAGCTTTTGGCTTTTCCTTTTTTCTTTCTTTTTTTACTTTTCCCCCTTCCTTCCCATTTTTTAGCTCACACATTTTTGTGTTGAGCAACCAAACAATCGATTGAATCGGGTTAGAAATAAAATGAACAGCGGGAGATATTAACTAATAAATGATTTTTAAGTAAAAAATGGATATACAAATAAATGGGTAAAACAACAAAAAAATCACGGAGGAGGGAAGAAAAAAACGTTTTTGTTAAGTAATACAGTTATAAACATCTTTCAGTAATTTTTTAAAATAAAATTAACAGTCTTAACAAAAATTAACAAAAGAACGTATCGTATTCCTATATTAGAGCCCTACCCTCTATAATACAGCCCGACCTTGGAGATAGTTGGAAAATAGAGCCCCATGGAGCTCTAAAATCTGTAATCAATATGAACTTGATTACAGATTTTGGTATTGAGTCCAGGACGCTTCAAATGTATTCTGAAGATAATTAAGGTGTTAGGAATATTGAAAAAATTTTGTTGATCAAGAAATTAGATTTTCGATACTGATACCGACAATATCGAGATTTTAAGGAATTTTAGTGAGAGAATTTGTAATTAACTTTAAGGATATACCAAGATAAAGAATATATTTATTTACTGAAGAATATTAAAATATACAAAATTATTAAAAGTTTTCCATCTGGGTATTTTTTTATTTTTAGTTTCGCGTAGCAACGGCTTACTTTTTACTTATTTAACTTTTATAATCTTGAAAAAATATATTTAATTTTCTAGTAATTGTTAATTAATTAAGAAAACAAACAAAAATAAATATTTTAATTAAATAAACGTGTTATTTTTATTTATTTTTATATCTCAAAAAATAATTAAAAAAGGAAAATTGAAGAAACAAATAAATTAATAAAATACGAGAAAGGAGAATGAAATGAGTCATTCATTCATTCGTGTATGTAGGTATATTTTTAAATTTCTAAAATGATTAATATATTTTTTTTAAAAAACTTTTAAAATCTTTATTAAAATGTCAAATCACGGTGCTGAACGAATTAAAGAGAAAATTAAATAATTAAAAGAATATTATAGGGATCATGCTTTAAAAAATTCAATGAATTAGATAAAATTAATAATTTATGGTTTTTAGCTATTTTTTGTCAAAAATTTTCAAAATATCAATAAAAATACATCCAAAAAATTTTTCCCAACATTTTTAGTGTTATTTTTTGACAAAAATATTTGCAGGAAGTGGGATTCGAACCCACGCGGGCATACGCCCACCAGAATACCCGAACCTGGGCAAGCTTTGCTTGAGTCTGGCGCCTTAGACCGCTCGGCCATCCCTGCACATGATTGGCTGTTAATAATTAACTCTTTTATAATTAATTTTTATTTTCCTTTTTAATTTGATTTTTATATTGTATTTGTTTTAAATACAGTTTTATATTTTATTTTTAATTTTTTTAATTTCAAAAAATGAGAAAACTACTACATACATATTTATTAATTATTTAAAAATTAAAAATAAATTTATTTAATTAGATCAGTGATTTTTTTCAAAAAATTTTTTTAATTTAAAAATCATTTCAATTCATAGCTAAAATTAAATATTTAAAAGTTTAAAAGAAAAATCAAATCCTTCCAACAAACGCGCAGAGAGATTTTGTTGTTAATTATTTATTTATTTTTCAAAGACGTGTGATTGTTTGAGAGAAGTTATCAAATTTCGGCGTGAAAATAAAATGTTGATTTTTTAATTCTTTTAATTTATTTTTTAAAAAAACTTTTGAAATAAACAGACATTTTTAAAGTAAAATTTATTTTTTTCTTTTTATTTTTTATTTAAAAATTAACTTCAAAATTTTCTACATATCTGGTATGGTTTCTTCAAAGCTTAAATTAATTTTATTACAAAAAATAATTTTAATTTTATTTTTATTGATTTCATTTCCCTATTTTGTCCAATCATTCTTTATTAACAATTAAATATATATAAACTCTTTCCGGTTAAAATATCCATCCATTCACCAGCTGCCCCATAAAGATATATTTATTTATTTTTATGTCACATTCTTTTCTTTGACTAGAAAAATGGCCAAAAGATATCAACAAAACAAAAGATTTTATTTTCAAAATAATTTAAGTATTTATTTTTCTCTTTAATTTTTTTTTAAAATGATTAACAAGTAAAAAATAACACTTCTAGTTAAAATTATTTAAAATAAATTTAATTTTATAAAATTATTTTTTGTTGTTTTATGTTAAGAATATCTTTTCATAAAGTTTTAAAAATTGAATTCTGGACTAGAGATTTTGTGATGCTTTAACCCTTTATATCCTTCATATTTCATATTAAAATTTAGTATTATTTTATTTTTCTAAAAATTACTTTGAAGATTTACAATTAATTTTTTACAATTTTAATTTAATTATTTATTTTGTTTAAATGAGTTATTCATCTCGTTATAATAGTAAGGGAAGTGGAAATTATCGTGCTTCTTCATATCAAAGGGAATATTCTCCGATAAACTCTAATAATTATTATAATGCTTCTCAAAGGTAGGGGAATAATTTTAATTAATTTATGTAGGGGATAGAGGTTTGTAATATATTTGAGAATAGTTATTAGTTTAGTTTTGAAGATATGATAATTGTCTGATAATATTTTTTATAATTCCTTTTTTATTTAAAGTATCCCTTCTTTTTAAAGATATTCAAGTACTGATCTTTACTCTTCTACAAAAAATTATAACAGGCCAGGAAGTAGCAGTCCTCGATATATTCCTCCCTCAACAATAACTTCAAATTTAAACTATGGAATACCTAAAAGAAGTGCAAGTTATGCTTGTGGAATTTCCATAGGAGGAAATTTAAATAATTTAAATGAATTAAGACCAAGAATTGGTTCTGATATTTCTAACAAAAGAGTTGGAGTTAAAGATGTAATTAATAGAATTGAAAGGTATTTTCTATAAAAGTACTGAATGTATTTGGATATTTGAAATGTAAATTTAATTTAGTATTTATTCAAAACTATAATTGAGAATTAAACATATATTTGATAAAATAAAATATTTGACCAACTTTAATTGATCCTAAATTTCCTTTCGAGATCTCTCTTTAAAATACTAATTGATATTTTTTAATTAAATAGTAACTACAAAGTTTCTCCATATCGAACAAGTCAATCACCTATTTCTACATTAAATGGATATAATTATTCAAATGGATATGAGACAAAATTACTAAAAAGTAAAAAAATTATAAATTTAAATTAATAAAAAAATATTTTTATGAGGAAATCAAAATGAAAAAGATAAAGAAAATGATAAATTGTTAATAGAAAAGTTACAACAGTTCAATAACAACAACTCTCCCAATTCAGAAAAAATAAAAGAAAAAGTTAATTTTCAAATTAAAAAAAATGCTTAAATTATTTTAGAGTAAAAGTACAGAGTCAAATTCAATAAAAACAGAAGAAGATTGTAGATCAAATCAAATAAAAAATATAGGAAAACAACACATTGAAAGGAGAGTAACAAAAACAATACAAAATTTGATGGAAGAGTTGAATAATAAAGTTAAAGGTACTAAAATAAAATATTTTCTGGTCTAGATAGAAATTAATTGATAGAAATTAATCCAAATACTTGATCTCTGCTTTTAAATATTTTAAATAACCCCTAATTAACTCCTAATTCGTTAATAATTTTATCCGACATGCCTGGGCCCAATTCCTGATTTCCCATGTCCCTATGTTCACCGTCTTTTCTGGTTTCCTTTTTCTCGTCTCCTGTTTTTTTGGAGAGTAACAGAAAATTATTTAGAAGTTTTTACTAATTATAGCCAACCAAATATTATCAAGTTTTGGAGAAAAAAAATATATGAAATAAAAAAATATTATTAAAAAACTAGCCAACTGTCAAGTCCCAATAGTTTTCTCTTTACGTGTTAACTCCAACAAAAAAAACATGCAAACATTGACAAAAATTTTCCTTAAAAAGTCAGTTGTCTATCAAGAAAACAAAAGTTGTTATTAAAGAACAAAAAATTAAAAACTTAACATTATGCTTAAAAGAGAGATTAAAACTTTTTTTTTCGATTTTATATATACTTTTTCTCTCCAATCACTGTCATAAAACTTTTTTTCCAAATGCTTGATCTCTGCTTTTAAATAGTCTTTTCAATATTTTTTAATCAATTAAAGGATTTAGTGAGATTTAACTTATTTTAAAGTATTTTTATACACATATGGATTAATGAATTCCAATAAATCTCTCGTTATGTATAAGATAATGATTTCCATAAATATAAGGGTTTTCCTAATTTATAACGGAATTTCATTTATAATTTTTTAATTTTTTCAAAATAGATTCAAATACCAAATTACTTCAAATACCTCCTCCTTTACTATTGGTAACCTGCCCTTCAATGCAAGAACCAGAAGAAGGCGAAAAATCTGCCGAAGAAGTTATTGAAAATAAGCAAAAGACTAATAATAATAGCGAAGTTGATGCTCAAATAACATTGAAATTAGCGGCACCAGATGGTGAGGGAAGTGAAAGTTATTCGGACGAGGATTATTCTGATGAAGAATTTTCTGATGAAGATGAAGATTATAGTGATGAGGAAGAATGGGAATCTGATTGGGATGTGGATGAGGCAACGGTTTGCCGTACTTTGCAACTCTCTGGTTATGAATCTGATTTTGAATTGCCTTTCGAAAGGCGTGAGAAAGTAGCGGAACGCTTGTCAGAAGCTAATGCTCTACCGCCACCAGTATTTACAGCATCAATAAGTTATGATGGGATGAGTGATTCTTGGGGTACTTCAGGACAGTCATATTCTGATGAGGGAACAGGTATGGAACTTTCTAAAGGCTAAAGAATTTTTAATTTATTTAAAAGGGTCTGGTATTGGCGATGATGTAGAAGTTGGTTTCACTTTAGTTCAACAAGCAGCAATGCGTCCATCCGACGAAGAGGAATACAGTACAACAACAAGTGGTACTTACTCGAGCGAAACATATACATCCAGTTCTTTTGATGAAGAAAGTGAAGAGATTAGTGATGATGGAAGAAGTTATACTAGAAGTAGATCATTGGATGATAGGGTATGTTGAAGGAAGCTAAAAAACTTAAGTAGGATTCGAATTTTTGGATCAGTAACTGGCAGCAGGGTGGGCGCATTGCGTTGATTTTTGGCCTTGCGTTTTTTGAAATTGTCTCTTGCGCCCACCCCTGACTGGCAAGAATATTATAACCTTAATGACAAGTACATAAAAATTTTAAAGAGTATTTCCCGTTCTTATCGTTCTTCAACTTCTGGCGAAACTGCTGAAAGTGTACATAGCGGTGAAGATGTTTTAATTAAAGTAAAAGAAGAAGAGAAAAAAGAGGAGCCTAAACTAGTCATTTTACAATCTGTACAACAAGATGAAGAAATTGCAGAAGAACCGGAAGAAATGATTCTTGATATTGATACAAAAATAGAAGTGAAAAAACCAAAAGTCTCGGAAGAGTCGGGACATGATGGAAATAAAAAGGTAATTATAATTTTTGGTCCTCGAGTAATTTTTAAACCTGGAAGGCTAGCCAGATTTAATGGAAGGCTAACTTTTGTAAGGGTAAACACATGGGAACGAAGAAGATGAAAACTATCGTCTAGAGAATAAAAGCTATAGTAGCGAGCTTTAATAAATATGCTACAGTCGAATCCCGATAAAACATCACCGTCGGGAACCGAATTTTGCAAACGTATTAAGGAGGGAAGGCATACTATCGAGACTACTCTTCTTATCCCTGTAAAATTTATTTCTAATTAAGGTTGTCTCCTAAATTTACACAAACAATTTCAGATCAGTCGTGAAGAAACCTATGTCCGTGAACAAAATCTAAAAGAAGGACGTGCAGAGGAATCTGCTCGCCATTTACCTGGGCAAACAAAACCAACAACAGATTTTGCCAAAAAAGCAGTTGTTCAACCAATGGCAGAAGCTAAAGTCAAAATTGGTGAACAAACAAAAACAATACAAGCACCGTCAAAGGAAGAAATTGAAGAGAAGAAAAGGAAGGAAGAAGAAAGGAAGAGGAAAATAAAAGAAGAAGAGGAAGAAAAGAAGAGAAAAGAAGAAGAAAGGAAGAAGAAAATAAAAGAAGAGGAGGAAAGGAAGAGGAAAAGGTTGAAGGAGGAGGAAGAGAAAAGAAAGAAATTGGAAGAGGAAGCGAAGGCTTTAGCAAAAAAGAAGGCAACAGAAGAAATGAAGAAAAAAACAGCTGAAGAAGTAGCAAAGGTAAATAATGAAATAGTAGATAGACAATTCTGTTGGGTTGTAGGGATCCTAAGAATAGGTATTTCAAATATGAATATTAAAGTAGCAAAACAATAAATATACAATAATAGCTAATATGCCCAGATTATTAACTAGCCTCTGCCACAAATATCCTACATCCTCATTTTTATATATGCTCACTGTTTTCTCTGACGAGCTTGAAAAGGTTGGAAGTTTATTTGGTAATGTGTTATGGAAATAATTTTTGAAAATTAATAATTTAAAAAAACATATGGAAATAATTTTTTAAGCAATGGCCTAGAACATTTTTAACTTATTTTAACGTTCAAAAGTTTAAGTAGAATAATTACACAGATATATTTACTTATTGTTCTGTTGGCGAATATACTTTACTAAAAGGATATATTAGTCAATCGATCCTTAATTTGATTTTTGGCCCATTTTAGTTTACCACCTTCTTTAAATTACCTATATTTATTTTATTTAATAAAATGAATATAATGCCCCCTCCCCCGATTTTACTTATTCTTAAATAAAAATGTTAAAATATGTATCAAAAAATAATTTTATTTGGTATTCTTTATTAAAAATGAATGCAGCTTTTGAATTTAAAGAGACAAAACGCCAAATTTATTATGAGATTTTTAATTTAAGAAGAATCCGCCATGAATTATTGGTTATCTATTTAAATAACACAAAATTGGCATTTATTTTATAAACCCTTCCATTTAATATACTTTTTAAATTGCAACTAGACCCCTATATTTTTGTAGTCTCTTTTAATTTTTTTAAAATCAGATGGTCGAATCTGCCACTGCCAAATCTCGTCCACGTTACCAACCTTCTGAACCTATTCTTCCAATTGTGTTAACTCCAAATGAGCCAATAACATACAAAAGATCTACACGTTTAGAGCCAAAAGAAGAGGATGAAAAGAAAAAAGCAGAAAGACAACAACGAGCAAGAACTCCAATTCCAGTACATGAACCTGATGACGAATTCGATAAGCAGGTGAAATCAGATAATAATTATCCGCCATTAGCTTCTCTGATAAGACGAATTCACACCCTCAGTTGTGTTGGGTTTTTATGGGTATTGTTAATTCGAGAATTGTCACTCAAGTTCTTAATCCACATTAGGGAGAGTATTAAAAGAATTCAGGGGAAGGATTTTGAGAGGAATTCAAACAGTAAAAACTGACTATAAAGAGAAACTTTCCTTAATAAATATTTAAATATATAGATGACCGAACTTCGAGACCAAATACATAAAGATAGGCGCAAACTTCAAAGTGAATATCGAGATGTCAGTCATGGATTAAAAAGTGCAACAGCTGAAGTTCGTCAACGAACAAAGGAAGCGGAGCATCAATTTAAGCTTGACAAAGTTAGCGATACTTTTAAAAAGGCGGAAGAAGAGAAGAAGCGGCAAAGAGAATTAAGACATTTAGATGAAAATAAAAATAAAATTAAAGAAAAAGATGGGAAAGAAAAGGAAAAGAAGAAAGAAACAATTCCAAATCAAGAAACAAAACTTAAATTAGCACAACAACAAAGACCTGAACCTAAAAAAACTATTAGAAGGGCAGCTAAACAACAAATACAAAATGATGTTTCGACAGCAGAATCATCATCAAAACTTTCAGAATCTACTAAAGCTGCAGAAAAAAGAGAGAACTTGAGACGTTTATCTCCACAAAAGAGAGCAAGTGGTGAAAAAGTTGAAGGAAAACGCAAAACAGAAGAATTAATGAATTTTACCACTACTAAAGAGGATTTGACAAAATCAGAAGTAAAAGGAGGGAATGTAGTTGTAGAAGTTGTTGGAAAGAAAAAGACGAGATCAGAGGTAGGTAGGAATAAATATTGATAAAAAGTAAAAAAACCCATATCTTTACATAAAAATAGTGTACATTCGTGAAATGGGCCACTTATTATTAAAAAAATTAATAAAAATATTTTCAGAATCGGCGAAGGATTTCACGCCGTGGACATTTACGTAAAATGTAAATAAACATTGAATTTTAAATATAAATTATAAAATTTTCAGCTTCACAAGACTACCTTGTGACATCGACGAATTGATGGGCTGGAAGGGACACGATTCTTTTGAGAAGGTAAAATATTTGAAAAAAATATTAACCAAGCTCCGAGGATAATATTGATGAGAACTTTATTATTTAGATGGACGCATTTTTCACTTCACGGGAAACAGCTAAACGTCAAATAAATCCTTCCAATGGAAAAGAACCCGCCCCAAAACGAAGAGGTACAGAACCACAAAAAGTTTGGATTAGCGAACTACATGACATTGACAAAATCTACAAAATGAGTGAATTAAGAGATATTAAACTTTCGGCAGGTGCATGATATTGTATAAAATAAATATTAATCCCAGAGAATAAGCAAAATTTGTTTGAAAGATCTTTTTAGATTTTTTATTATTCAGTTGTATAATAAATGTAATAAATTTTTTAAATTTGTTCAATAATATTTTCGATTTCGACAATGAAAAATAAATTTTGTATGAATTTTAGTTGGCCAAAAACGGTTTGCAATTACCGTAAAATTTTTCAATAGGTCACTGAGTGGGCTTGTACATATTAGATAAATATAAGAGATTTGATCGTCTTGATAGAATCAGTTCAAGCCCCGGCCCTAGAAATTAATAAGCAAAATCCTCAATTCTGTTGTTGTACTAAAATAGTAAAATATGTACGTTACGTGATACTTTAGTTTTTTAGTTCTAAATCCCATGAATACATACACTGATTTTTAAAATAAATATCAAAACCCAGTTAAATTTAATTAACAAAATATGAGTTCTAATTTCCAAGCTAAACTCTCCTCACCTTCCCCACTAAACATTTAAATTACTATTTGGATCTTTCCTCATTAAAAAGTAAAAGCAAAGTGATCAACTTTTTAAAAACCCATAGATTTTAAACCTTTAATTATGCAATTATTAATTAATATATTAGCATGGATGTGGCAGCAAAATAGGTGAAAACTTGAAAAAATGTATGTTTATGTGTAATCTTTTAAATATTAGCGATTAGTTAAACAACAATTTTGTTGTGCGTTTGTGCTTGAGGAAATATAAATTTGTGCAGAAAATATGAAAGATTATAAAAATGGGGGAGCATATAATAATAGTTATATAGTAGTTGACAATATCAATTATTTTAAAAAATTAACATGTTTTTGAATTAAAAAAACAAATATAATAAAAACAAAGCATTCATTAAAAAGAATAAGGTGAAAACATTGGCCATTCAATTAAAAAAAAGTAGGAAATGGGAAAATTACGCGCAGATTCTGGGACAAATAACTAATTAAGAGACATATTATTATTATACATTATATGTAGTTTATGTGGCAGGGATGGACAGTTAGTCCTAACTCCCAAAATATTTTCTACCATTAGTCTCCTTAATCTTCTATCTGCACTGGTTTAAAAGTTGTAATAATAGCTTCCACATAATTTTATTAGCAGATAAAAAGCAAATAAGTAATAAACAAATTTGGACTATTGAGGCTAAAATAGGAATGGCCATGGGAAAAATAAAAATATGTAAAGATGAATAAAATATACCATATTTGAAGTGGATAACTTTTAGGTCCATTTCCACAAAATAAAAAACTTATTGTTAGGTCCGTTAATGAATCAAAAACATACATACTTTTGAATAATCCTCTAGATTTATGTTAAAGTACATATAAATGTTAGGGTACTCCTTAATTTATTCGAGTCCAAGCTCTATAAATTAAAGAAGGGATACCACTTTCTTGTTTTTAATACCAATGGATAGATAGAGAGATTTTTTGAAAAATTTAATCTTAAGACAACACTTTTTATCAACCTGTCAGGAATTTTATTTTTTTATCTTGTATTTGATTCTCTATCCAATGATACCAAAACATTAAAATTTGTCAAACCTTCATGAGTTAAAGGTCTGTGATTCGGTTGAGCCAGGACCCAGTTGAACGGCTACGAAAAAGTTTTCGATCATGTGGATTGAACCCAAATTAGTTAATAGAAAAAAGATAACTTGGCAGCTTCATTTCACAATAACTACTTGAACTTTATAAATAAAATTAAAACCAAATACATTCGAAATTGTGAAATGATACATACCAAAAAACAAAATTCAAATAGAGGACCGGCAGTGTTTACAACAAATTCACTTACGCCGCCTAACAAAGACATTTTTAATTATTTTGAGAGAATGGATTTATAATCAAAATGGATCTCCGTCCGAGAAGGCAAAAAAAGTTAAATTGGTGTTTAATGTAAGAATTAAACTGAAAGACGCAAAATCTGAAAATATATAAATCCATTCCCAATTATTGAAGAACTTTAATAAAGAATCGAGCAAAAGAAGCAATTGACTGATTTAAAAATAACGAAAAGGGTTATATTTCTCGAAAGAAATTGAGAAAAGTTAAGGGATAATTTCCATGTAATTTTTGTGAAGATTTAATTTTAAAAACCTTCAAACGAGATTGTATTCCCTCAGATTGTGCTGCAGAATTGTATCCTTTACCGCTGCAAAGACGAATCTAATGTTTTCAGTATCTTAAAAGAACGAGATTTTTAAGAAAAATTTGCATGACAAAAACCTGTGGCACAAGTGAAATGTGAATAAATAATTTTCTCAGTGTCCGGATTTAGATCGACGAACATTTTCAATATAAACTCCCTAGCAGCCATCTCATCTCGTGGAGGGCCTAATAAGAGAATTAATACAAAAACAAAAATCACTAAATTGACAATGAGAGCAATCTCCTTAAAAGAACCATTTAAAAAATACCGTCATATTCGGGAAAGTAGTCAGCCAAATGAGAATAGAGAATCTTCTCCGCTAGCAAATCCTTCTTATTTAGAAAAAGAATTACAGATGAGTTTTGAAACCATGGATAAGTTATAATAGTGCGAAAGAGCGCTTTCGATTCTTCCATTCGGTTCTATGAAATCAAGGAATAATGATTAATATAAATATCAAAACCTCATTGTCACACTCAACAAGAACTTGGTCATATTCGGACAAGGCGACTAAGAACATTATGGAAGTGACATTCTCAAAACAATGTATCCATTTACGACGCTCAGATCTCTTAAAATAATTTGAAATTTATTTAAAGGATGGATCTATGGCCCGTAGTGTCTTAAAAGATGAAGTCATCCCGGTAAGGGAATAAGTTATGTGCCAAATTATATTCAAGCAAACAAAACCTGTCCACCAACATCAACCATCCTGAAAACAATCTGCTCCAAATCGAATGGATACTCAATTATTCCAGTTGTGGGAACACGAACTCGAAGAATGTCTTGTTCCGTTGGTACATAGCCGTGTTCAGCCAACCGTCGCACGTCCGTCAAATAGCTATTTAGAAATTTGTTATGTAAAATACGGAAGTTTGTTATTCTTCCTATAATAAATAATTCAATCATAAAGACTGAGAAGGGAAGTTTTCGCCAGAAAATATAACAACCCAATTACGATAAAAATTACTATTTAGCAGAGTCAGTAAGCTGATACTCCCTTCGTCGATCATAAGCCTCCTGAATGCCCGGATCTGTCCACAAATCGGCAATATAGCTTACATAAGGCTCTTCAAATGTGGTTATATTTTCATAATCAATTGCTCGAACAACATTGGCCTTTTCTTCGGATGACGCCTCCCCATAAGGGATGGCCAGCGTCTCCATTGCCCGTATCATGGATTGCCTGAAAATAGTTATAAAATAACTTTGATTATAAAATAAACTCATTAGGTTATTAATATCACTAAGCAAACACATTGAAGTCTAAGAAACATAAAAGTTAATACAACGGGGCCTAGGGATATAACGTCAAAGACAAAATAACCTCTACGGACAAACATGACATTTCTTAAGTTGGACTTTTAACAGGTGCAATGAAATCTCTCTAAAAACCCATAAAGTCACTAACGTCTGATTTGTCAGAACTAGTGTCAACTTTAACTTAATACGAATGCCCGTCAATCCCCTAGATTTATAGAATTCTTACATTGCCATGAATACGTTCTGATAGACAAGACGAGTATGCTGTCGTTTATCCTCTAATGAATAACCACTACCATGGATAATTCGCATCTGTTTGATGAAAGTGGATTTGCCAGATTCACCCGTGCCTGAAATTACAAATTTCAAAGAGTCAATTATTCAAAGATAAACCTAATAGGAGGAGTTTGAGCTCACGACGTGCATTCCTCTTATCTCGTTGTAATTGTTTTTCAATTTCTTGATTAATGCGCTTCTGTTCACGCGCCTCCTCACTCAGACAACAGGCCATCGGCCCCACTGAGAAGCCAGTGAGTCGGCCCGTTTTGCCGACAGAAGATGAATCCTTCTGCTTCAACTGCGTTAGTAACTTTTCGCAGTTATAGCACTTTGTCGTAATTTAAAAAATGAAGCAAATAGCAAGTAGTATTTTGACGAGAATTTTTTGATTGATAAATGCAGTTTATTGTTGTTGAGTAAATTAATTGAAAAGTCGGTATATTAAAGTTTGTATTGAAATGTATTTCTCTAATAACAACCAGAACTTCATCTGGCGCAATTCTTAATGCGCAGAGTGCAATGCATTTATTAATCGTTCATTATTCATAGAAAAACCATTTCTAAAAAAATAAGAATGTATTTGGATAATTTTGGATTATTATGACGATTTTTGCGCGTTACCTGTTTTTATTCCTTAATTTTTCCTTACCCTTTCCCCCACCCATCAATATTTAATAGAAAGAAACAGGCTGATAGCCAATCAACCAAAATAAAAGACCACATTGTTGTGTTATAAACGAACTATACACGATGTATTAGCGCAAGGATGCCAATATAAGCAAAGAAAGGAAAGAATTCTCTTCATGACGAAGATGATAGTAGTAGTAGCAGAAGCATCACAACGCCGTGTCGCCGCTTTGCCGCACTCCGTTATATGAAGACGAAATCCTGCTGCGTTGCCGTCGCAGCTGCTAAAGCTACAGAGCAACTATGAGAGCGGAAATCGATTTTATTTTTCTGGCTTTTCGAGATGTACATTAGGGACAAGAATGCTTTAAAAATAGAGATAGGACATAAAATGCAGGGAAGAGAAAATATAAAAAGGACAGTTAAATGAGAGATATGGCCAATGAAAAAGGGATAGAAAGAAGATAGTCCATACGTATGAAAAGAGAAAATAGAAAAGAGAGAGTACCCGGGATTGTAATGGCCGCGACCATCCCCAAAGGCGACAGACCGGTTCTGCTGCCACTTCAATAGTACGAGTCCACACGATAAAAGCGACACACGTACATTCACAGTTAGATGCTAACATTACTACTACATTTCAATGACTGGGATAACGAGGGGCTAAAACGAAGAAAATCACATACAGGGAAAAGAAGCCAGTGTGAGAAAGAGGGATGTGATTTGCTCTAGGTGTAATAAGAATAAAATTAGGGTTTGGGAGTAATTTTTCAAGCACATGGTGACACAAGAGAATCCTAAATTTTAAAATAAACTGCAGTGAAATCTTTCTAAATCTATAATATAAATCACAGTTTCAAAAGCAAGCACTAACTTAACAGGAATTTAGTGAAAATTTGTCGTCTCTCTTCTTTACACTTGAAAATTAGCAAAGAAAAGTTACTAGTATCTTTCTGAAAAAAAACAATAGGGGACGAAATCTCTTTATTCTATTAAATTATAGAACGCCAACTTAAGTGCCAAAATATGAAGCCTAAACGGTATTTAGGCTTTATATGTACAATTAGACAGTTAACAGGTGTCTCGCGTCGAACAAAATTACAGTGGGGAAATTAAAAAGCATGTAGCTTCGCCCACCCCCTATTTTACGGAGAGTTCTTTATAAAATTTTTCAGAAAGAACGAAACCGAAAAATCCTTGGCACTTATGCAGTTTTTCGAAAGAATACATAAATATTTAATAATCTTGTTAGGTAATTTGCATAAATTCAAAGTTGAATTTTAAAGTAAAAAATTTTATTTAAAAATTATTTGATGCTAATAGGGTTCGAACTTTTGACAAGTTAGAATTTCAATCCCCCTTTTCACTTAACTTAAATGCACTTAACCAACCTTCACTGTGCAATTGTCTCACGGCGAATTGTCTCAATACCCAATGGAACAACTACCGGTATTTATGGGGTGGCCGTCCAGTTGACAGTGAGACAATTCCACAATAAAAAATTGTGCATAGTGAAATATTGCATTCAGTTAGGTTTAAGAGACGGACACCCAATCAAATATTTAATTCAATAATTTGTTCGATTTTGTAGTCACTAATTTACTTATTAAAAATAAATAGGAAACAATAAAAAGGAAGAATTTAAAAAATTGCAGTGAATTTTTTCTGTTGTAATCGTCTTTTGCATTCCTTTCCAAATTCCTTTTGACCTGTTTTCCTTCTTACCAACCACCCAACCATTTCCCATTGGACCCTATTCCCATATTTGTTTGAAACGAAAATTGAAAATGGCAGTACCCCAATTAGTAGTAAAGTTGGTTGCACGGTTCCTTTAACCTCTTTTCTGTTGGCAAATTTTTTAAAGAAAATCAATGTAAAATTAACAAAAATGATCTTGTCCTGACTATTTAGAAATCATTTTAACCTCGATAAAAGTACATACCAAAAATAATTTTTTTGAGAAACTAAAAAAGTTAACTTAAAATTTTTAAAATAAAAAATATGAATTTTTTAAAATGTGGTCTGCGTTAAGCAAATGGATTTTTGGTACCGAAGAAAAATACCCAGATAAATTAGTTATTTTTATGAACTTATAGTAAAATAATGTCGAGCAAATTCCATTAAAAGGTTTATTGGTTATAGAAAATATTTGGCTAATATGATAAAATTGAACAATTTTAGAGAGGTGTATTTTGAACAAAATTCGATCAAGATCAATACAATAAATGCAGGAGGGAAATTTGAGCAAATTAAATAAAAATGTTATTTAGGTATTTGTAGTCATCTTATATTGATTTTTAAAATACTTCTTGCTCAAATCAACAAAAATTACATATAACATAAAAGAGGTCTCAAATAAAACAAAAAGTTTATTGTAAATTAAATGTCAAAAATTGGGGAGAAAATTCGAGTTTATGTTGAAAAAAGGGTATTTAGGATATTTAAGATCGAAATATTTAACTTCAATTCTTAATCGTCAAAACAAAACAAAATAAATTATTAAATACTTAAATATATATAGAACAAAAACTTAACGTTGACAGATTCCATAAAATTAAAATAACGATAAACCACCAAAAAATTAATTTCCTTTATTTGAAGAAATAACAGGTTCTTTACTTTGTTTCCCTCCAGTCAGCGATGTATAGAACACAGAAAAATCGAAACGTTCCAAAGCATTTTTCATTTCTGGTCCAAATGCCAAATATACGAGAATTCCAACAGAACTCAGCATAACAAAAGCGATAAACATTCCCAAAGCCACACGACGAAAAGATTTTCCTTTGCTCTGTGGAGGTGGTGTTTTGGCTGGTGTCAAACGCCGATCGTCAACTCCTCGACGGCGATAAACTCCAGAATAAGAGCCGTTGTCAGATGGTGGATTGAATTTCAAACGGAAAGCACGTGCCTCATCTGGCGAGAGTATCCTTTAAAAGTAAAATAATTAAATAAAAAAAATATTAAAAGAAAACCTTGCACTTTCACAAGAATCCTCTTCATTGTCACTATCATTCTCAGCACCAGGTCTGGCACTTCCCTTAATTATAAAGAATAAAATAGAAGTCATATGTTATCAGGCTAAAAGGAATTTCCAAAAGTAAAAATAAAAAAGCTTGTAAAATTTTACTTTACAAAAATTTTGGGTAAACCAAGATTTAGAGTTCCCCTTTCTTCTTACCCAAGTCTTTAATTTTGTACAGACGGTCAGACCTTCTTCCTTCCTTAATTTATCTCTGCTTTCCTATGGCATATTCAATGACATTAATATTGTAAAAAATTAATCTGAGGAAGGAAGTCTGATCATTTTGTACAAAATAAGGTAAAAACTTGGGGAGGAAAAAAGTGGAATCCTAAACCTTGATTTACACAAAATTTCTTATTATGACCTAGTTTAGAAACTTTTTCGATTTAATCAGAAATATACCTCTCGATGTTGAGGACTTGCCGACACTCCATTTGTGTGTTGCACAAGAACTGGACTAACTTCCCGACTCGGCGTGTGCCCATTATCGTTTGAGAAATCAATTGTATCCACAGCTTCATGTCCACCACCATTAGTAATTCCAGTCTCATTATTTGCAATCAAAGGTTCGACTCCATTTTCCAGAAGATTTTGCAATTTCTTCTCATAGACTTTTCGTGTTGTTGATCCAATCGGTCCAAAAGGAATGCCTATTTTTATTAAAAAGATATCAGCAAATTTTAATAAATTTAAACCATTTTTGATCAATTCTTGTCGAAGCTCATCATTGCTCAACTGTGAAAATTGGTCGGACATGAATAATTAGAATGAAATCGTCTAAATAAACTAAATAAAAATGAGTTAGATTTGGCCAAAACGAGAGTAAAAATTAAATACTTTGAATAATTTGGGAGTTAATAAAAAGAAAATCACAAAAAAATTCCGAAAAAAGTTGACTCATAAAATGGACGAAATGTCATTTATTCAGAAAAATTAAAGTATACTGTATTTAATTTAAACTCAATTTTTTCGTTTAGAGTCTCGGAAATTTCTTTAAGAACTCACTAAATTTTATATTTTATTTTTAATTTGTAGACTTTAATGATTGCCAACGGCAGTTCACTTGTTTCATTAATTTCAGATAAGGCATATGATAAAAAGATTTCTGGCTATCTACATGTACTTCAGGTTAAAAAAATTTTTTTTTTAATTTTTAATTATAATTATTAGGATGATTCTCGCCGTCGACTTTATGCCATTCTCAAAGCCAATCTTTTATTTTTGTTTAAATCAGAAGAGAGGTTAGAGATCCCTTTACTTCTTATAATAATGGAAGATTGTGTTGTTGAACTTGCAGACGATAATTCTACTGGAATGGAACATTCCTTTGTTATAAGATTTAATACGTAAGTTTCTAAATTGATTTTCAAATTTGAAAATGAATATTTTTGTAATCTAAATTTTAAATCGGGATTAGGGTTTTTTAGATTAGGACTTATTATTTGCTTAATATTATTGTTACCTGCTCAATTGTCAAAGAACTTCTTTTAGTTAATTTTTAATTTTTTTAAATTCTAGCACATTTAACCGTTAGGTTTTTATTCAAAAATTTTAAAATTAAGAACTGGACAAACTTATGTAATGGCCACAGAAAATCAAGAACAATTAAAGAATTGGATTTCTTTATTAACTTCTTGTTCGATTGAATTTATGCGAGCAACAAAGGAATCACTTGAAAGTGAACACGATGATCGCAATCGGCAACACAAATTAATAAATGATGAGCAAGGAATTAGCAATAGTCAAAATAAATAGAAACAGAAAGTAGGAATTTTCTAATTCAGGTACCTATGTAGTTTATTTTTTGTTCACTTTTTATTTATTCTTTAATTTGTTATATTTTTTGACTTGTGATATGAGTAGGGAACGGATTTATATGGATTTCCATATTTTTTTCCTGGCCTAGTTGGGTCTTGAAACGTCCAAAAAACATAGTTTTAGCATATGTTGATAAGACCGATAATGAGTTATCAATCCATATTTTCCATATTTTTCCATATTTTAACGTTTGGTCCATATTTTCCATATTTCGTCCATATTTTGTCATTTTTTGTAAAATTTTGCCAAAAATTGGTCAAAATTTTCAAATTTATGAATTTTTTTGGGCAAAAAGAAAATTTTTTGGAAAAATTAAAAAAAAAATTTTTTTGACAAAAATTTCTAAAAAAAATTGTCGACTCAAATATTATCCAAAGTATTTTTAGAAGCAAAATAATCATCATGAATTGATTTATTTGTAATATTATGCATCAAAATTAACTTAATTAACATTTTGCTGCTTTAAAATGCAAATTTTGCGTTAAAATTTTCAGTTTTCGGCCCATATTCGATCCATATTATGGATTTTAATCCATATTTCAGTCCATATTTTAAGATTTTTAGTCCATATTATATGTCCATATTTTTCGATTAATAGTCCATATAAATCCGTTCCCTAGATATGAGTCTCTTTTTACCTCTAATTTGACTTATATTTTTGATAAAAATTTTAAAATACTTTAAAAGTTTTTGTTTATAAGTTTATTCCTTAATTATATTTAAATATTATATCTTCATCTTTATTTGTAAATTAGTTTACTTTTCTTCAACTTTTGGTGCCATATTTGTTGAATGCCGGTTAGTTTCTTTTAAAAATTTTAACTGATATTCTTTGAATTTAGGCATTTCACTCAAAGTTCAACTTGGATACGGATAATGTTGATCAAAAATCGCCTCAGTCTTTGGTAGGAAATATGGCCATTTTGCCATTAAAAACTTCATTTAGAGGACCGGCAACAAGAATTGGTATTTATTAAAAAAGAAAATTTTCAAAATTAATTTAAGATGATCCAACTTATGAAGATGTAATTGATGAGGCACTTCTCTATTTTAGGCCAAATGTGTTCTTTCGCAATTTTGAGATAAAAGGACCTGCTGATAGAACATTGATTTACTTGTTTCTCTACATTACTGAATGTTTGAAGAGGATTTTACATCAAAAAGTAGGAATTACCCTTGTTTTTTATTTTAATATTCTGACTTATTTTCCTTTTCTCTTATCATTTTTGACTATAAGCTATTTTCTTGTTACACGAGGCATATCCAAGGGTTTTAATGCATAATTTATTAGCAGTCAAAACCTTATAATTATTAAAAATATATTTTTGTATTGTGATAAAAAAATAAAATTTTTATTATCAAAATATTCGAGATAATTTTAACTTAATTTGTTAGATTGTCCAAAAATTACAAGCAAGCAAAGAATTGACAACTCTGGCTTTAGACTCACGACGCGGATTTCCAATTCCTGGTGAACAAGCTTTCCCATTTCCTAGTCTTTTTAAACCGCCGGCCAATGCACAAGATGAAGGTATTTTCTTCTATTAAAAAATCTTTTCAAATATTTTTTTAGAAATAATGCGCAATTATTTGCAACAATTGAGACAGGAAATGGGTGTTCGTTTACTTGAACGAATATTTCCAAATCCTGATGGATTGCCTTCTAAGGTTTGTAACTATTTTTTATTATCAAGTGTCAAAACTAGTAACCGGCAAAATCATTTTGCGGGCCCGGAAACTGGATTTTGAAGATCGCGAAAAAACCCGGATTTGGGATCCGGACTTCGGAAAAATCCGGCCGGATCCGGTCCGGTGCCGGTCACTGGTCAAACCTTTCTTTGGTTATCAAGGCTAGAAGACAACTTTTTTGGAGTTCTCTAAAAATATATTTTAATTTACCTTTTAATTTTCTAGTGGTGGCTTTGTTTTGCTAAACGTCGTTTTATGGATAAACAACTCACGCATACATTATAGAGACAGGCTTGTCTTTTAACAATTTTTTTTGGAAAAAAAACAAAGGAAGACCTTTCTAAGAATTTAAAAGTTTCCCATTTTTCAACTTCTGCATATTTACAGTCAGCCTTATTTACTTTATATTTGTGTTATATTATTTAAATATTTTCTTAATTATTTTTTTAAAAATAATTTTCTAATTTATATATAAATGTTTAAAAGAATTTTTTAATTAATTAAATAAATTGTTAAGGAAATTTGAAATTCCTAACTTGTAGAGAATTTAAATATTTCTTAAAACTCTTTATGAGTTAACTAAGGTTTTAACCCCCAATTTAGTTTTCTTTCCTTGTCTTTTACAAAAATGAAATATTATATTTTTTAAAGATAATTATTTTAGAATTTTTCTTTTAAAAAATTTATTTTTAAATTATTTTCTTTCATAAAAAATTACTAGAAAATAATTATATTTTATGTATACACCAGTTAATAGTAAAAGCTTTGTAATAAATAGTTAGAAGACCTCAGCTGGTTGTGTTTATTTATTCTTTTATAAAATTATGGTTGGCCTAACAATTTTCATTATTATTAAATACATATTTTAGTATTTAATTGTCTATCGTATTTACTCAATTACAAGGTCATTTCATAAACAGTTCCCATTTATCAAATTTATTTAACTAGTTCGACAAAAATATTTTTAAAACTGCTTTACATAAAACCTGTATCAAATGGATATCTACATATACCAGGGGTGTGCCATTTCGTCTTTCACAAAGATTCCGCCTTTTTTGGACTTTCGCCTTCCGTTTTTCGCTTTTTAAAATTTGTTTCGGCGCATCCCTGATCTATACGCTGTTTTAGAAAAAATAATATTATAAATTAATGGAGGGTGATTGTAATAATAACACAACTATTAATAACGAAAGTAATAAATATGAAATTAGAAAAAATAAAGGTATTAGTGATAATATTTCAATTAGTGGAAGACATTCATTTTGTGGAGGAAATGAAGCAAGAATCGAAAAAGTAAAAAATGTTGAGAATTCTAAAGAAAAAGATGAAAGCGATCGTATGAAACAGGTGTGGAGAATATTTTTTTCTTAATTAAATTTAAATTTGGATAATTTAAGCTATTCAAAATAGCATTGCCTCACATTTGTTTATATGTAATTTTATGTTTATATCTTTTGGTTGGTGCTTGGGCATTTGCGAGAATTGAACATAGAGCTGAAAGATTAGAACAAAGCAAAAGACTTTTACAAATTTGTAATAAAAATAAAAGAAATTTTTTATATAAATTTTCTAGCAAATATTTATGAACAAATAACTTCTTCAATTGACGAAGAATGCTCTTCCTCTTTTATTAAAAATCCAGAAAATTCACAAAAACAATTTAATTCAAAACTTTTGAGAGAAGGAATTTACTCTTCCCTATCACGCCTCTCACAATTTTTCGAAGGCCCACAGTTTCGGTTGAGTGCCTCAGAAGAACCTGTACTTGATAAAATACTCCCACCAAGATGGGATCCAATGTCCTCAACTTTATATGCCCTATCTATTTTGGTGATTTTGATTTAAATATTAAATTACAATAACAGATTTAATTTTCAACAAAACCTTTTTATTATATAATGGGGTTGGTTATTAGAGGGATTACTCTACTAAATTAACCAAAGATATAGAAGGAAAAAAGATTTGCCTAATATTATTCCCAACTTTTTGTTAAGGCAGACTTTTGTGTGAATAACCGTTAAAAACCTTTAAACAATTTAAATTATCAGACAACAACTGGTTATGCCTCAGCAACACCAATGACTCCATTCGGTCAATGGTTGTCTATAGGCTATGGATTGTTGGGAATTCCATTAACTGTTTTAGCTGCTGTAGATATTGGCCGTTTTTTGTCAGATGTTGTATTAGCTATATATGATAGAATTTTGGTTGTTTTCTTTTAAATTTTAAAGAATTTCCTTTGGTTTTTTTCAATTTTTGTAGCGTACTTTTCGTCGTTTACGTAAACTTTGCTGTCGAATACGCCGTCGGCGTACAGGACCAGTTACTTTACAAAATATAGAAACAAATTTAGCATTTAATACATCACTACAACCTTCACTTGCCAATCGACGGCGACATAAACAATTGTTTTTATTTTTTTAAATAAAAGTTTTTAAATTAAAAAGGGTTGTAAATGCATTACCAAATAAAAACAAACAAAAATCTAAAAGCAATGAAAGTGTGAAAAATGAAGAAACTAAACGTCGTCTTCCTTTATCTGTTAATGCTGCAATTTTATTATTGTTTTGTATGCTTGGTGGTTGGGTTTATATGGCAGCTGATGGAAGTGGACATAATTTTATTGAGGCAAATTATAAATTTAAATTGATATAGTATATCCTTTGTTTTTATGGAAATACCAAAAAAAAGATCCAAAACTCCAACTTCATTTATAATTTATCATCCCTCTTTTAGGGCTTTTTTGTTACTTTTAATCTCGTCGCAAATCTAACAATGAGTGAAATGCCTACGCACATATCTTATTTAATGACTTTAATTTATATTTTTGTTTTTGTATTTTTTGGATTAGCTGTATTGTCTATGTGTGCAGATTTGGCTGCTAGTGAATTGAAATGGTTAAGAGAAAATTAAATTAAAATAAAATTATTTTTTAAAGGATGTTTTTAAAAATTCATTATTTTGGAAGAAAAATAAATTGGGCAAAGAGGAGAGCTAATAAAAGGAAACAACAACAAATGGAGGCTCGAAAAAAATTTTCTGAATAAAATTTTATTTTTATTTTAGATGGAAGTAAAAGAATTACTTCTTTTAATTGACCAAATAAGAGCTAAATATCCAGATAAAGAAGATATTTCTTCTTTAGATATACTTAAATATGTACAGGAATTAAATGCGGATGGAGCTTTTGGGGGAAATTGGTCACATCGAACTTTTAGTCTTTGGCTTTTACAACACCAAAGAAGAAATACTTTGGGTAATTTTGATTTTGATAAAATATTTTGTCTTTTTAAAATTAAGCATTTACTCCTCAAAGTTTTGAGGCGCTTAAATTTGCTGATGAAATGGATCAAGAAGAAGAACAATTACTAAATTCTACAGTTAATGCTTTATTAATAAATTGGCGTCGACAAAGAAAGCGTGGAGAACAAAATACATTTATTCCCCTTTTACCATTTGGAGTTTGAATTAAAGAAAATAATTTTAATTGAACTGTAAATAATACTGTTGCAGTACAGTCAAACTTCTCAAATACAGCATACCCTCTGTTAAACTCTGTCCCGAGGGTGATGCTACACCGCGTTTACAATAAAATTTGTGTAAAGTTGAGTGTAGTGTACTCGTATATTGGCTGTATAATAAAATACACGAAACACTTTACACTCAACACCGATTGTAAATGTAGCCTTAGAGAAGTTCTTTTTTATTGTTAAACACTTTCTGAACTTTTCTGATCACTCCAATAAATGTTTTCAGAAAAAAATAAATGTTTTTTTGTTTATGAAAACAATATTTCCTTCTATTTTTGATTTAAATATTTTTATTTAAATTATTCTTTTTACAAAACAAAAAAAAATTTAATAATAATTTTCACATAAATTTAAAGCTACAAAATTGCTGTATTATGCACGGGAACAATAATATTATTTTCACTAGAATGATTTTTCTTTTTAATATTTTCTTTCAAATATTCCTCTATCCGTTCATTATTATTTAATTTATTTTCTTTTATTACAGAAGGAGGCTCTGTTGTTTTATTAACAGAATCTTCTTCTTCTCCTCTTTCTTTTATCTCTTCCCTCTCATTTTCTTCCCTTCCATTTTCTTCTTCTTCCTCCCCTTCTTCTCTTTCACCTTCAATTCTTTCTGACATTTCAACATTTTGTAAATGTTGAAATAATAACCCCATTAACAATTGTTGGCCGTCATTACTTCCAAGTGCTGCTAATTGTGCGGCAGCTGCTGCAGCAAAATTTGAAGCATTTGTAGTTGACAATAGAGGGGAAGTTGTTGTTGATAATAATTGATTTGAAGCTGAAGGTGTTTCTGAAACTGAAAGAATTTTAAAAGAATTTCAAAAATTAATTGTGTGAATAAACAATTTTTTAATTAAAGAAAGCCGCTTTAATTACCCGAAACATTAGCAGAAGAGTTAAGCAAAGCAGGAATTGAAGTATTAGAATTAGTAGCTGTTTCATTCAACATTCCAAAAGAATTATTATTTCCAATAACATTTGCTAATAAATTAGCTATTGCTGCGGCAGCTTGTTGTTGTTGTCTTTGTTGTTGTTCATCAAAATTTGAAGGTAATGGAGGAGATTGGGGGAATAAATGAGGTTGTTGTTGCCTTATTGTTCCCAAAATTGTGTCTTCCATATCAAAAATTCGACGGCCACGACGAGAAGGATTTTGTGGAAGTGAATGCGTTCCTTATAAAATTTAAATAAAATTATTATTTTTATTTTTAAATTATTGAAAGTACCTTTATGTACTTTTAAATTTCCACGTGTAGTAAATGCCCTTTCACAAATTTCGCATTTATATGGACGATCACCTAAAAAATATATATTTTTTGGATTGTTTATAATTAAAAGAGATTTGCCTGTGTGTGTTCGAGTATGTATCTGCAATGCAGATGAACTACTAAATCCTTTCATACACCAACGACCTTAATATAATTTTTAAATTTTTTTAAAATAATTTATTATTTACAATGATGTTTGGCATTTGGAGGTTTTTGTATTGGGGCCAAAAGAAAACAGGCTGCAGAAGGGGGCATAGCAGAAGAAGAGGTGGGTTGTGGTGGAGGTGAATCAGCAGCAGAAAAAATTCGTTGAAGACTGAAAAATATTTAAAAATAAAAATAATTTTTCGATCATTTTATATTTTATGTGAAAATTAAAATAATTTACTTTTCTAAAGGATTTTCCTCTTTCTCCTTTTTAATTTCTTCTTTTATTTTAATCGAAGAAGAAGAAGAGAAGGATGTTTGTGGAACTGATTCAAGCATTGAAGGACTAGTTGATGACTCAATTCTTCCTTTATCTTCCTCAACCTCTTCACCATCCTTCCTTTTCTCTTCTCCTTCCTCCTTTTTAGAAAACTTTTTCATCTCCAATTCTTCGATTTCATCGTTATTTATCCGTTTCTTCTTCTTTTTTGTCTTTCCATCTTCTTCTTCCTCTTGATCACCATCTTCTTTAAAATAACTTTTCACATTAGCGGAAGAAGACAAAAATTGTTCTTCAATTTTAAATTTAGCAGCAGCTGCCAATTTTTGAATAAAAAATGCCGGTAATCCAAAAGTATTATTATTGTTGTTATCTTCATTATTATTACTATTTTCATCACTTATTTTTCTATTTGGAGAAGAAACGTTAAAGGAAGATGTCATTTCTTCATTCTTCTCTTCCTCCTCCTCTCCTACCATTTTATTTTTTTCTTCATTTTTTATTCTTCCATTTTCGACTTCCATTTTTTGTCCATCTTTTGGAGGAAGAAATAAATTACTTAATGCTAATCCATGATCAACAGAAGAATTATTTTCATTTAATTGAGGATGATTTGAAGATAAAAATAATTGTAATTGTGCTGCAAGTGCTGCCTGTGAAGAATCAGCTGCCATTGATAGTGGAAAGGGTGGAGGTATTCCGTTGATTTGTGAAAAATTAGACATAAATGTTGTTGGAGGAAAGTGTGGAGGGAAAGAGTGAGGAAGAGAGCTTATATTAGAATGTGGAGGGAGAGAAGAACCATAAACTAAATTGTTTCTGCCAGTACTGGCTGATGATGATGATGAGAAAAGAATTGAAGGCAGGAAAGGAAAACTTCTTTAAAATGAAGAGACTTTATTAATTTAATTATTTTTTTTTGAAAATTACCTATTTAAATTATTTAATGGCTGGCTACCCTCTTCCATCGAAAAACGTTGTTGTTGTCCAGAAAATAAATCTGGATTAATTAAATTTTCATTAGAAGAATGACATCTTTCTGGACTGTCAGAATTACTTCCCAAAGCAAAAATATGTTGTCGAAGAGGAGCTTTGGATTTGTGTACTCCCATGTGTGTCTTTAAGTTGCCTTTAGTTGTGAAAGCACGCTGACATATTCGACATTTAAAGGGACGTTCACCTAAACAGATCAGGATTTTAAAAATCAGAATTGCTATTACCGGTATGTGTTCTATAATGCATTTGCAATGCAGATTTACATGAAAGTACTCGACGGCAAATAATGCATTGATTAGGATCTGTAGGTGGTTGGGCATTGTCCCCAGCCAATTCACGTATCTTTTCTGCTTCATCTGTACAGCTAATTTCCATCATTTGTTCCCAATCATCATCTTCATCGGCCAACTAATTTTTAGAAAAAAATTTAAAGAAAATATTTTTATTATTAACTGATTGTGAGGATTGTGGATGGCACATTGATGAAAGTAAATTTTGCTGCAACGATGTTGCTGAACAAACATTATTAATTAATTGGGAAGGACTTTTTGGAGATGAAGGAGAACAATGAGGAGGTAAAGAACTATTTAATTGTGGTGGTGGGGGAAGACCAAATAACCATGCAGCTGCTGGATGGAGGAAAGTATTTGTTGTTGTTGTAGTATGTGGGGGAATGCCTTCAATGATATGGTGGTGAGGGGGAAATGATGGTAATACTAAAAAATTGAAATTTTTAATGAGAAAGTCCCTCAATTCTAAAAATAAGGCTTAATTTAGGACATGAATATTCGTACTAGGTAAGTAAGAAGCTAAAAAGAAGTGCATTGATACGAGTGTATTGAAATGAGTAAATGATTTATATTTATTTAAAATAATTACAATTTTGTTGATTTTGTGCTTGTAACGACAAAAACATTGAAGAAGGAGAATCAGACAAATTTTGAGAAGAATTAAACTTTGTTGATTGTTCTGTTGTTGAATTATTAAATATATTTGAGGGAGGGGCTGTTGCTGGTGTATTAGATAATGAAGAGGCAGAAGAATGAAAAGAACAATTTGAACGAGGTCGAGGACGTAAAATTAAATTATTTGAATTACTTAAATCTAAAGGTGCTTCACTGCTTGCTGGATGTTGATTGTTATTATTGTTAGCTGTTTGTTAAAAATTAAGAAATTAAAAATGGGAGAGAAAATTTAAAAATGTTCATAAATTAGGAATATTTAACATCAAAAAAACTCAAATTAAAAAATATCTAAATATTTAATTATATTTTCTTTTTAATTTAATTATTAAAAATATTTTTTACCAAATTTATTTGAAGATTTTTTGATTAGATTAATATTTCCATTTATTGTTTCTTTAGAAGTTTGGGGTCCTTCTTCACTTTTTTCACTTAAAGATTCTGATGTTTGCCAATTTTGGTTTTCAATTAAATTTAAATTATTTTCTTCCAAATTATTATTCTAAAAATTAAAAAAAATATTTAAAAAAATTTTCCAAGAAGTCTTGATTTTGGGGGAAAAAACAAAGCGGAAGAAAATTAATACAAAAATTTCTTTTTAAAATAAACAAAAATTGAGTAAATAATAACTGACACGAGGAAAATCAATGTAAACCTATAAATATTTTATTAAAAAATAAAAATTGTATAAATCTAGGAAATTTTTAATTTTCTTAGAATTTTATTGCTTATTATTATTTTTGAGAGAAAAGAAAATTAAAAAGAATTATTTTCCTTCCTGGCTCTAAATTATTAAAAACTTTTTGCCAAAGTTACACAAATACAATCAAACCTCATTTTTGGATATACCAGAATTAGATAGATATTTTAATTTAAAATTTAAAATATTTACTTCTCTTTAAATTAAAAATAAAAGGAAGAAGGGAAGGGAAGGGTTATTCAAGATACCCTCATTATAAGATATAATTCTTCAGTCCCTAAGCGATATCTAAAAATGAAGTTTGACTGTTCAACATTTTTTGTCTAAAATTATTTCAGGGTGCCAATAAAAAATCTTTTTATTTCAAAACCAACATTATTCTTTGTTGTTTTCAAATTTTTATTATTTTCTGTTTGATTAAATAATTGTCCAATTAAATTATTTAAAGTTTCTTCTGAATTGCTACTTTCATTTATTGTTGTTGTTGTTGTGGATTGTTGTTGTTGGGTTAATAATAAAGTAAATAATTCCAAAAGATTATTTCCATTATTGTTTATATTTTGCTAAATTTAAACATTTTCAATTAAAATTTTAAGGGGTTTTGGAAGGGGGAAGAAAGAATTTAAATGTAATTTTTATTTTCTAATGGAACCTATAAAGGAGAGTAGGGCCTCACACCCATGAGAATTAGGGTCTCACAAAAATAAAATCAAAGAATTTGGTATTATCACAAGGTAATAATAACTTCAAATCTTTTAATTAACGCTCCCCAAACTCTTTATAGGTCCTCAGAATAAATAAATATCAAAATATTTACTACCTCACTCTCGTCCTCATTTAAATTTGTATTAGAATCAGAATTATTGTTACATCCAAATAAAAGACTTCCAAGTTTTTGTAGTGCTTCTTCTTGAGCTTTCCTTTCTTCTAATGGATTTTCGGCATTAAATGGCTAAAAAATAAATTTTTATTTAAAAAATTAATATTTATTTAATTTTGTTAGAATTAAAGTAAAAATCTCAAATTTCGTTTAAAGTTCAAGCTATTTTCATCTCTCGATATTTAAATTTTATTTAAAAAAAAATAAAAACTTTTTTAGGACTCTGAAATCCATTAAAAACAGAATTTAATTGTTGCGGCAAGAATTGAGAAGAAAACAAATTTTGAGGAAATACAAAATTAGGTACTAAATTATTTGCAGTTATTTGTTGATTATTAAATAAAATATTATTATTATTAACAAATTCTGATTGATTTGGTAGAGAATTACTTGAATGACGACGTTTCATTATAATTTATGTATTTCTACAAAATTTTTAAAAATAAAAAAAGTAAAGCTGCGTAAAGTCGTTAACGAGAAAAATAAATGAGAAATTTCCTAAATCTTTATTTTTTGAGGAAAATGGGGATTTAGATTAATATATGGAGGTGAATAATAAAAGAAAATATACTTGAAGAGAGAGAGGAGAAAATCGGAAATATATTTTAAAAAATATTAAAAATATAAAGTAAATGTACAGTCAACTCTCGTTTTTAAAATAGCAAAAAATATTAATTAGAATTAAATTTATTTGGGAAAATCGTCATTAGTTTTGTCCAAATTTATAATAAAAGTTAATTTAATTTAAATAAAAATAGTTATTTAGAAAATAAAGAAGGGATAAATTGAAAATGAAATAAAGATTTTGTTGAATATTAAAATTTATAATAAATTTGAGGGGGTGTTCCACTTTAAAATACAATTTACTATAAGTTGAGAAAGGTTAGTAGTTTCTCTCTCTCTCATTTACCCGCCCATAATTTTTATTTTAATATTTGCGCGCATATTGAAAGTAATTACAGTATTTAGATATTAAATAAAAAAATGTGTTGAACAGAAATATTAAATATTTTTTTGAAAAAATAATTTTAAAAATTTATTAAAGAATATAGAGTAGCTTAAATGAGTAGCTTAATATAAAGAGCTTAAATGGAAAAATAAATTTAGATTTAAAATTTTAAAGTTAAAAGGCATATAAAAATTAATATTTTGAAGGCGTCGAGTAAATATTCAAAATTTTAAACAGAAGGATTTCTTGCAATAAAAGGTAAATAATTTATCCAAAAAAAGAAAATTCGTCCGAAATCCTGCCTGTAATTAACGGAATATTTAAATATTTTTATTTAAATTTATTAGTTATTTATTATTTAAATAAAAATTTAAAAATTAAAAGTAATTATATAAAATAAAAACACATTTACGTATATCCTTCAATTAATTAATTCAAGTTATATACCTAAAATTTTTAAAATAAGTTTAAAATTTAACCGCCCAATTATTTTCCACTCATTAATTTTTAAATTTAATTTTATATTTTTAAACGCATCAATTGGCATAAAAATAATTAATTAATTTACTCTTATTTTTATTTTACAAAAAAAAGATAAAAAATATTTAAAAATATTTTAGTAAAAGGTAATAATTACAAACTTGGTCTCCTAATTAGTAACATTAAATGTATACCCAAAATAACTAAATTCCCAAAATAACTCTTTCGAAAAAACGATTGTTAGGATTTTAATGATAAATAATTTGTTAAACTTTTCTATATATTCTTTGGAAAAATTTTATTAACTCTCAAAAATTGAAAATATCCCACTTAAATAAATGTGTGTAGTTATTAAACTATTTTTAGATTTCATTAAATAATTTAAAAAAATAGATTACAAGATTGACTGAATGAAGTACTTCTTACTCTCTTTTTTTATTTCAATATTAATTATTGTCAAATATACTAATTTAAATTTGACCATTCTCTCTCTAAAAATAAACATTTTAACATAATTTTAATTAAATGACTAAACTTTTTGGCAAATAAAGTATTTTTTTCTTTTCTTTTTTTTAAATATTTAAATGAGAATGACTAAATAACCCCCAATCACTTTACTCAAAGTCCACTCAATCCTTTAGAAAAAATTTTGCAAAAATAAAACAAAAAATTTACCCCAAGGGAGTGAATCGAAAAAAGAAAAGAAAAAAAGACTTTTTTGTTGCAAAATGAGACAATTTTTAAAAATATTAAATTTTTAATTTAAAGAAAATACTTTTTTATCTGGAAAAAGATAAGAATAGAAAGTTAGATAATGGAATAAAGTTTTTTGAAGGGAATGATCATTTATTGGTGAGGAAATTTAAAATCATTCAAAAATATGGGAGAAGGGAACAAAAAAATAATTTTTATTTTAAAATTAAAATGAAATTTAAAAAAGTTGTTTTAATTTGAAATAATTAGATAAAATTTTAGAAAAAATTAAAAAATTTAAAGAAAAAAATTTAAAAAATAAATATTTAAATATTTATTTATTCCACCTCCTCCTTCTCACTTTTTAAAAAAACATTTCTGCCACCAATGGCCGGTCAGCGCCATTCATCATTCTCTCTCATAATTTCCCCTCTATTTGGCTGGTTGGTTGTCATATTTTTCAATAATAATATAGCAACAACCATAACCAACAAATTTATGAAAGGGCGTGTATTGAAGAGATAAGGACAGAAAAAAGGGAAAATTGGGGAAAGTAGGGAAGTAAAAAATAAATATTAAATTAATTAATTAATAATTAATATTTAATAGTTAGTAAGTACTTTTTTATAATATGTATTCTGCAATTATTTAATGGTCTTTAATGTTTTAATTTTTTGCTTATTAAATTTGCATTTGCATTTATTTTTTAACTATAAAAGAAACAAATAAAAATGAACACATAAATGAACGGATTTTTTAAATAAAAATTTAATTTCCACGTGAATGATTTCGTTTGATGAGTAACGGAAGAAGGAACGCGCGAGCTAATAAATTGCTAGTTTTTTTTGTTAATTTGATATAATCATTAAATTAAATTTGATATTTAGTTGTGTCTGGTAGTGATATTCTTAAAAAATAAAATTTATATTTTGTAAATATATAGAAGAGGTTAATAATAAAGGAATATTGTGGGGGAACTTTTTGAGACATTGGTAGTTGTAAAATATTTAAAGTAATTTTTGAACACAAATATTTAATAAACAGAATATTTAATAATTAAATATTGACACAATAATTTTTATAAAAAGTTGTAAAGTAACCCCCCTTAAAGCCTAGTAATTTAACCAAAAGAAATTAAATAAAATGTTGCGATAGCTACATAAATCCTTTTATAATTGCAATAAGCTTAGTAAATAATTTTCAAAGAAAATTAAAAATATTTTCTTTTTCTATGCTTTCCTCAATGAGGAGAAGAAGATTGGCGTAATTTTTCTAGTCATGTACATATATTTATTTATTTTTGTTAATAAAAATAAGAAAAAAATGTTATGTTTGAAGGCAAAATTATAGTAAAAGTGGAGGCAATGAGCCAGCCTTTCCTTTTTTTCTCTTTTTGGGTGGACTCCGCGCACAAAAATTGTGAAAAAAGGGGAAAGAGGAAATATTAAATGTGCGCGGCGCCGCGCTCAAAAAATTTTTGTGATAATAAGCGGACCGTTAATAATCTAATTGATGATAATAAGAGGGAAGACGGTGGTAAAGAAGGTAAAAAATAGAGGGGAAAAAAGGAGAATATATAAATATATTATTATAAATAATAAAATACAGACAAAAAATTTTTTGCTGATTGGACTTGTTAAGGAAGTATTATTAAAACTTAAAAAATTTTATTCTCTAAATTGAAAACCTGTAGAAAATATTTTGAATTACGGAAATTTTAATATTTCTTGTCATAAAATATTAATGATACCTGAACACGTATATATGAAATTATGGAACTTGGCTGATTATAAAAAGTATGAGGATATGTATGTGAACCAAAATATACACAGATATACCTAACCTTTGTCTACAATTAAGGATGGCGGTTCCTGGGAAATCTCCGGAACCGGAACCGATATCCGAACCGAAAATTTCCTGATAACCGGGGTTTTTTCGGTTCCGGATACCCGGAACCGACAACCTTACAATTATCTTGTTTAAATATCAATATCCCTTCTTTACTTATATTTTAAATTTAGAAAAATAAAATTTTCATCCGCAATTATTCCGCCAGCTCTTTTAAGTGTAAACGATAGCCAAAATTTTTTGTTAAGGCAAAGGTCTTAATGTGCGGACACGCGATTTTTTTTATTTAATAGTGATAAATAATATATAAGAACAATATATATTTAATTATATTATGAAAAGACAAGGATGATTAAATTGTTGGAAAAAAATTGTCGGTGCTTAGTCGAGCGAAAAATGATAAAAATAAAAAAAAAGATTGTTAAATTTTTATTTATATTTGTTTGAATGGGTTTTTAAATGATGGCGGCAAATTATAGAAATAAACTGGTGTAAAATTTTTAATAAAATATTTTTATTTTGGGTCATTAAAACTAGAAAAATTAATTTTTAGAAAAATTTTATGTTTGTATAGCTATCTATAGTTAATTAAAAGTTTAGTCCTAATTAATAAATTAGAGAGGTGATCAACGTTTGTTTTGATATTTATAACAGTTAGACTAATTAATAATAGACAATAAATTTACTTGTTAGGAATAGGCGATCAGGAAAAATTTGTGGGGATTTAAATAAGATCTGTTTTAAAATCAAATCTCAACTTATTTTTTCGTTTGGTTGGCCAGGGGGGGGTGTCTACATAATGCGTAGTCACCTAAAAAAGCTGCATAAAGTCGCTTCGCGTTTTGCGACAGAAAATAATCAAAAGAAAGAGATAAAAAAATCGTACGTAATTTTGTAACGGAAATTAGAGAATTTTTTTTAATTTTATTAAATAATATTTTTTATTAAAATTTTTTATTTTGTTGAAATTTAAACAAATTTAAAAACTGAAAAGAAAAAAACAAAGAAGAAATGAATGAGTAATGCTAAAGAATATTTCCAATCACACACGTACACAGAGATTTCTTTTAAATTGTAAATTAAATTTTAGAATCTCTAGTAAAATTAATAAAAAAATTAATCAAATAAATTAATTAATTATTTAAAAAATAAAAATTATTTTAAAATTTAAAGGAAGTTATTTGGTAATTTTTTGAAAACAATTTTTAATTAAAATTTTACTTTTCTTTTTCTCAATTTCGGAAATAATTTTTAAAAATAAATAAAAAAATTAAATTATTTTTTAAAAATTAATTTAAAAATTATAATATGTAATAGTACATTATAATATTTGATTTACCTCTTTTAACACCTACTACAGTTATATTTTAAATTTTAGGCAAGTTTATTAAATTTAAAATAAAATACATGTCCAACTTAAGAGGAAGACATAAATTTAA